TATAAACTATTTTTCATTTTTTTTAATAAATAAATTGATTAAAGAATTATATTATATAACTTATTATATATGAAATAGAATGATGTTTTTACAAAAAGAGAAACTCTTCGACCAATTAATACATTGACTTGTTTTGATTCTGCTCATACTAATTCTTTATACATTCTGAAAATGAAAGAGTTAACAGGAATTTATAAATAAGAAAGTGAATTATTACAAGATGATCTTTCTCATATCAATTAAATAATTAACTCTTAAAGTGAAATTATACAAAATGATATTGAACCTTAAATTCTATAACTAAAAAAATTACTTTAATAATAGGTTGTTGAATATAATCACGAAATGCAGGATCAAATTGTATAATTGGAAAATATTAGGAATGATAATTTAGAATTAGAAAAAGAAATATTCAAATTGCAATAACGTTTGACTTAATTAGATGATCATATTGGATAATAGGTATTATAGAGAAAATACGATATCAAATTTTAATGATTTATTAATATTTATATTAATTATATATATTAAAAGATCTAATAAATCTAAACTAAATAAGACTTTATATTTGTTAATACTTTTATAGAATAAATAATAGATATTAATATGTAATCAAATGTAAAATTAATAATAATATATAATTAAATAAATGAATATTTTATAAGATAATATGTATAATTAAACTTTAAATTTTCATTCCTTATCTATTTGCAAATGATCTTAAAGATAATCCTATTTTCCAAATTATTTTCTTTAATTAGATTTTGATTATTAGAAAGTAGGTTTTTCTTTATCATTTTTGTCATATACTTTAAGGGAACTATAATCTACTTATGTAACATCTACTTTGATTGGTATGCCTTAATTATAAATATATTAAATACCTAAATTCATTAAATATGTTGCTCTGTCTTCATGAGTTTATATTTGTAATAATTATTTAAAATTAATGACAATAACCTATTTTGTAATTGATTCTAACAATTTCTTTTATAAAAGTCCAAATCCATTTAGTGTTGTTTAATCAAAATTTAATGTAGCTTGACTTACAATCAATAATGATGTTTCACTTAATATATAAATAAAATAATTACATTGAAGGTAAGTAAAATTCAACATTAATACCATCAATATTTTTATTAGTTTCGAATTCAACTCCCAATAAATTAAAATATTGTGTACAGAATTCATTAGGAAAATGTTGTTTATTACTTGAATTAGCAATTTAATATCTAGCCTTTGAGATTTTTTCTTCATTAAGATAGGCTTCATGAACTTTAACCGCTTTAGAATTTGGATATTTTCTTAGTAATATTTCATATGTTAAAGCAGTCTTAAAATTATCTTTATATTTAGCATCAACTATGCTATCTGCAACTTTGTCAATAACTTCAATTGGTTAATCTGCTAAAACATAATATTACAACAATTTAAGAGCAGTTGAACCTGAAATTTGTGTTTTTTCAACTATTTAATTAATTAAATCTACAAATTCTTATTCAACAAAACCTAAACTAGTACATATTTCAATTATTTCATAATAATAACTTTTATAAGCTGAAGATTATTATTTAATCTTTTCTAATGTTCTTTTGAAGAGATCAGCTTATTTAATTTTAGCTTAAGCAAATATATCTAATATTTAGATTCTTTATTCATTAAAAATAAAATAAAATGAATAGCCATATGTTTCAAGTAAAACATTATAAACCATTTAGGATTAAATTTAAAATTTAGCAAATTTTTCTACTGCTCTCATAATTCTATTAAATCCAAGTTTTGAAGATAATTCACTAAATGAAGTTGATAATTCTTTTAAAATTGAATAATCTTTTGCAGACATAATTAAATCAAAATATTATTTAGCTTATAATTAAGGTTATATTGTTTAGAGTTTTGTTTTGATATTAATAAATTCTTCATTTGTAAAATCACCTAATGTAATCAATTCTAAAATTGGTTAATATTTGACTTCTTACTCTAAAGCTTTGAAACAACTTTCTTTTATTTTATCTCTTAATTCAATAATATTTTATGGAATATTTTCAGCTTATAATGCAATTCCACATAATTAAACTTTAGTATGCCAATGAGTTTTATCATTATTTAATTATATTACAGCTTCTTCTGGTGTTAATAAATTATGATTCATTAACAAATTAACAAATAAAGGATCAGGAAAAGGTTAGTTAAGATTTTTCTATTTGAATTATTCAGAGATTTTTTTAAGTGCAGCACTAACATGTCTACTTAAATATCCTATATTTTCAAATCTGAAAGCAAAATTAACTATTGGATAAAGTTTTTATTCAGGTTATGCTTAATAAGCAGAAACTAAAATTTTAATAGCCCATTATAATTGATCACTTTTAATAAGATCCAAAAATTTATGTGAATTAAGTGTCATATAATCTACAAATCTTTAAATTGGAATATTTTTAGGATCTCTAGATAATAATTATAAAAGTGAAGAAAATGATTCAGAATCAAATGGATCAATATCTTAAACAAGTCTTTACATCATTTATTTAGGATTTACTTTATTTTATTATTGATCATAAAATTAGAGGAGAGCAGTTCTTGATTTATTATTACAACAACAATTTATTAATTCTCTAAAAACTCTAAGAAAATCAAATTTTTATTATTTTACAAGTTCTAATAATTTTAAATAAGCTTCTTCTTATAATTGATATTTTATTTAAAAATTAAGTTCATTTTCATTAAATGTTTTTAAGGCTTATAATGGATAATTTTCAATTTATTCTCTACATACCTTAACAAAAATATCTAAATGTTCTTTAGCATCTCTATTTGCATATACAGCATAATTAATAGCTTAATTTAAAGGAATTCTTTTAGATTCTTTATTTTAAATGAATTTTTCTACATATTCTTTCATATTTACTCCATTAATAAACAAGTAATTCAAAACTTTAATACTTTTATCTTCTAATTTTAATAAAGCTTATAGTATTTCATCCATCTTTTTATATTTCATTAAAGTTGGTATCAATTAATTTAATAATGCAATATCAATAGTCTTATTTTAAATTCTATTACATAATTCCATAAGCACTTTTTTAATAACATCCTAAGATATTTTTTAAGTAGTCATTTTAATCATTCTTTCTGAAATTTAAATTATAAATTTATCAGATAAATTTTATGGATTTTATTCTAAAGTAGTCATTATCATTTCTCTTAATTATTTTAATAGATCAATTTCAAATTTACTAGGAAGATATTCATAAGCTTTGAATATATTTATGACTGATTCTTCTTATAATAGTTCAATTTTATCTTATAAAGAATCTTTAATTTTTTTAATTTAAACTGGTAATTGAAATTTTGGTGGAAGATTTTAAAATTGTACTTCAGCACATACCTTAAATAGTTAAGATTTCTATATAATATTGAATATATATATTATACTTATTCTATATCAAAACTGTCTAATAAACCATCTAATGCTTTAATAGAATTAGTTAAGACTGCCTAATCATATTTAGAGAGATTGCAATGATTTATTTTTATGACTACAGTACTCAAAAGTTAATTTATAAGGAATGGAGACAATTATTTAGATGTTAGCATTTATTCTGATATACTTTTAACCAATGTCTCACTATATTGATTTAATATTGATAAATCATAGTATATACTGCACATGTTTCTAAATGAAAACATTTAATTGTCAGACATCTATTAAATTCTTTAAAATAACTAATTTTGGGTTTGATTAGTTATATTTGTTGGAATTCGATTTAATCTGAATTTTCTTAACCAAAATAATACATCCACAACATCTAAATTATAGATATTTATTACCATATTCAGTTAATTGACCAACAATATCATTCAATTTACTTGTTATTTCAGAAAAGTTATTATCTGAATTAATCTAACGACTGAATCTTCCAAGTACTCTTAATGATATTACAACATGTTCATGTTTAAATTAATCTTTATTTTCTTAATATACTTTGAAGAGACTTGTTGCATTTTCAACACTACTCAATTTCTAAACTAATGATTCAAATGTGGCAAACCCAAAGGATATTACTCTATTCATCCAGAATTAAAAAAATTAATTTGATTTATAAAGCTCAAACTTCAAAAGTCAAAGTCATATAAGATTCTTTCAATGAAATCATTGGTCTCTCTTTTTCTTTTAGTATTTTTTTCCCTAAATCATAAATCTGCTGATAAACTATCTTTTTATCACCTGTCTCTCCATAACCTTCAAGTATCAAACCATCTTTTTCTATTTTATATGTTAATTGCAAATTTTATATATTTCTATCCCATTAAAGAATTACCAAATAATATTACTTAGCATTATCAAGTATTGTTTTTGGCTATTAATTTTATCTAAAATAATACTTTTATTACAAATGATGCTTTCTAATTAAATGTTTCTAATTGTCTTATTAATTCTAAGTTATCTTATTAAACACTTATAGAATTAGCCTTTATCTAATCATAATCTTTTAAATCTTTTGTTTTCTCTTGTAACTATTACACAGAATTTCTATTAAATATTTAAAATAATTTACTCCAAATTCTTAATCTCATCTTTTAATTTCTTTATTTCATCTAATAATTATTTTCTTTCATGATCTAATGAATGATTTTATTTATGTAATCTATCATATTTTTCTTTCCATTCAAATGCTTCTTTTGATAGTTGAACTTATTTTTCAAGTTCTAATCTAAGAAGAAATATAATTTAATCAATACTTTAGATTTTATAATTGTTATTTCAATTCATTATTCTCTATATTCAGCTATTTGATTGTATTTTAGTATAAATGAGGGTCTATTTATGAATGCATTAATATAAAAAAAATAATTAATTAAGAATTATATACTCTATAATATAAATGTTAAAATAATTTAATAAATAATAATCCATAATATTAAAATATTAATCTATATTTATTTTTTTGTGAAATATATTTTAACTTTATATTAATTTTGCATAATTTTATAATATATCACTTTCTCTATTACTTTTTAATAATAATGAATATTTGGATAATTAAACTATTTATTATTATTATTGTAACTCTAATAAAGTTAAAGTAATTTTCAAGTTTTCTTTAGTTTATAACATTTACTTTAAGTTCTAACTGAGTTAAATAGTTTTAAAGTAAAAATGTTACATTTTATTCATCCTCAACAATAATATTATCATTTTTTATTAATCTCCAAAAATCAATAATAAATATGTTGAGTTCTTTGTTTACTGGATTGTATATAGCTATATGAGTATTATTGAAAATAGAATATGATTAACCTGGAAATGATTGAATAGCATAAGAATCTAAAATTTAAAATTCTTCTTAAAGTTTATATAAGTAGATTATATATGATTGGCAAAAGTATAATAAGTTGTTTTGTAATAATATTGAATGACAATTCACATTAAATTTAGGAAGCCTAATTATATTATTTAATTTAATTTAATATTCCTAATTTTTCAAAGTTATCTAAATATAAAATTATAAGACTTATTCATATCTAAGCTATTATCTTTTATAATTAACTACAATCTTAAAATATAATATATCTTATAATGTATAGGTTAAATTTAATATTTAAATTTTAGCTTCTTGTGTAAAGTTAGGAAAAAAATGACTAAAGTTTATTGACTGATATATATCTAAAATAGGAATTGTATAATTTGATATTTATAAACTTACTCCTTATTAAATTTAAAAGCATATAATTTTAATTATATTTAATTCAATTAATGTTTAGCAGATCTTATCAGTATCAGTTTAGTGAAATTAATAATTATATTGTATAATTTGGTTAGAAGCACAAGAATATATAAATGTTATTTCTTCATTGACAAAATAATAGTTTATTGATTCAAATGTTTTAACCTTTAATATTTATAATATTATTGAACTTTCTTGGAGTGATCCTTAAATAAAAATAAATTTTTCAATTTCGTTATGAAAATATTATATTTTAATATTTTATAAGTCAATTTATTATATGATTATTATTCCTTCATTACAGGCATGAATTTTAAGATCTTCTGTTATTCTTATTGAAAATGTTTAATTTTATTCAATATCTTTTGTTATGTCTTATATAATAAATTATGGATCAAATTGGATTACACAAAAATATTAATAAAAATCAAGACATCTTTTTTTAGAAACAATTTTAAATGGACTTAGTAGATTAAAAGATGTCGTATTTTATAATTAAAATTCATAAAATATTCCATGTACAAATTAATTTGGATATATAATCGCTTAATTATTATTTAATACTATTATTGGATTACTTTTATTTATAAGTTCTAAATTTTCTTAGTAATTGAGCACTAATAAATTTAATTTTTCACTATAAATGCTATTATTTTTATAATTAGGATCTTTAATATCTATTTAAAATTAAACATTAAACATTATTTAATTAAGATCTTTTACACCATAATCTAAAAAGATATATTTTATATTGTGCTCTATTAGTTCTAAATTTTTATTGTAATAATATAGGAAATCAGAAATTGCATAAAAATATTAATAAGGGGTAGATATTACTTCATAGTATTCGAGACTACTTTCTTAATTTATGAAAAATAGCATGATATAAAATTAATCTTTATTTTATTATTGGGTTGTTATAATTAAATTGTTTTCATGAAATTAATATTATAAAGGTTGAATTGGTATATATTCTTAGAAGTAAAAGGTAGCAATTTTATAAAAGTTAGTTTTAGTAATTAAATATTTATCAATCCTGTTCATCTCCTAAGTCATTCCTATCAATATTATTTAGAGAGGTTGACTTCTCTTTTAGAAACCACCTAATAGTTCCATTGTTAAATTGATTGCTAATTTTATATAAAATAATATACTTTAAGTGACTAACTATTCTATTTAAACTATCAAATAAGATTCATATTGGAATATAAATATATCATAAAAATTTAGAATTTTTATGGCATTTTGAATATTCTTCTAAAAATAACTATAATTATTAAAAAAACTAGTATTGTAGAAGGTTTCATTTATGAATGTACTTTTTTCTAAATATTAAAAAAAAAGTTATTTTGAATTCTTTAATTAAATTATCAAGGAATTTCTATATGATAATGAAATTCTAATCTATTCTTTAAATTAATGTATTTAATATGGTATAAATTCTTATGTCTTATAATATAATTAAAAAGTAATTATTCTTCCTTCTTTTTCTTAAACTAATGCTTATTAAACATTCTAAAAATAAAATATTTTAGTTTCATTTAAATTTATTTTAATGTTAAAATATGAAAAGTTTTAAGAATTACAATTATAAATTACTAAAAATTCTTATTTATTAAACAGAAGATAATTTTCTGAGTTTATCTTAAATATTAAAAATTTTCTAGAATGATTAAATTTTAATGCTTTTGTATTACATAATCGATTTGTTTAATAATGCTAAATTTTATGTTAAAATATATTTGGAAAAATAAAATGCAATTGTAAATTTCGATTTGAAATGAATTAGGATTTTTCAATTTCAATTTTATCAAAATTATCATCTACTTAAATTATAAAATTTTAATATTTTAATATATCAATTTAGGTTTTTAATTTATCATGTTTATCTGAATTTTAAGTTATAACAAAACATTTAATTAACTTAACTATTTAGTCTTAAATAGTAAAAAATCCAACATATTTTATATTTTATTGATAAATAAAATAATTTTAAAATAAATTTAACTCAAAAATGTTTACTTAATTTTATTTATCAACAATAAAAAAATAATTGAGTTTTTATTACAAATAACAAACTGAATTAATCTCCATATGAATTTATTATGATATATCTTCTGTAAGTTTGACAATTAAATAATCACTATAGATTAAAAAAGTTAAATTAGGTCCTAATTTCATAATTTTTAACAAATTTTTTTATTCAAAATCAGTTTATAAAGAATGAATAGTGTATTCTGAGATTATTTGATTTTCTAATGTGCAACTCTATAATATCAAAAATTAAAGATTTTAAATTTTATCAATAAGAATATTAGAATCAAAACCTTTTTTGGGGAATTGAAAAGGTAAAATATTTATTTGAAAATATTCATAATCAAAAATTAGGTAAAGACTATCTTAACATACTAAAAGGTCTTATAAATACTTATTAGAATTAGATTGTGCTTTTAAATAAATTTCTTAATCAGTAATTCTTATTATATCTTCTATATAATAATCATAAATCAGTATTTCCCAATTATTACATTTATAAAAGGTTATTAACAAAGAAAAACGTTGAATAATTTAAAATTTCACCTCACATTATTATGAAGATATAGTATAATTTTATTATTATTTATTTCCTTTCAAATCAAATGTAATTATTTGCATTTGATCTTCAATTATACAGAGAATATAAAAGAGTTGATTCAAAAATAAAAACTAATTACATTTTCGGCCATCTTAATAAAAAATAAAAAATGAAAACTCATATATTTCATTTAATTGATTCTAATATACAAATAATTTTTTATACCATTACATCTTTACAATAAATTGAGTAATCTAAATTTCTTAAATTCTAAACTAGAGAACATAAGCACTTCCCTTCATCATATAATAAAAATTCACTTTAAAGAATTGTAAAATAATCAGGCACATATTCAACTTATGAAATAAAATTAATAAATGTTAAATTCCATTTATCATTTACTAATTCTTAAAAATCATTTGAAAATCTATAAAATATGTTGGCTACTTTATTAATTTCTAGATAATAATTTTCATTTTGCATAAGTTTAATATTTTAGCATTCTAATTCTTTTGTTGGAAATAAATAGTTATTTTCATTTGGAATACTTTATAATATTTCTGCCAGAACACCAAAAATAAAAAAAGAAATAAAATACATAAATTAAATAACTCTAAAAAATTTCATCATATATAGTTTATACTTCAATTTTAGTAATCAATTTCTATAAAAATATCATTTGAAATTATAAATTATGTTTTTCATATTTATTATCAGTTGTGAATGTAAAAAATTTTTTTTTAACATTTATAATCATGACAAATAATAATATAATGTCTCAAGATAATCAGATAAAATAATTTGTTTAGGTATAAACTTTATAAAAAAAATTAGATTTTTTTTAATCCTGATTGATTTCTTAATCAAAGTTAATTAATCTTTTTAAGGACATCATAATTATAAAAATCATGGTCAAGAATAGTCAAAATTATAAAGATAACAATATAATTTTATTATACAATATTTTAATATTGAAAAGATGTGACAACAATTATAGAAAATATAGTAATTAAAGAATACTTGGATAAAGTATAAATTTTTAGAAATTTTTTACTGTTATATCAAATTATATAAACAAAAGTAATTTAATAAGATATATCATAAAAAAGGTTGTTGGAAACTTATTAATTTTGGAATGTAATCCATATTAAACTTGATAATAAATACGTAGAAAATTTTAATATAATTGAAAAAGTACAAAATATGTTGAAATGTGAATTTTAAAGTATATTATAGAGAATAAATATTATCATAAGTGTTAATAACAATTAATTTTGAAATAAAACTCTTTCATTGATTATACTTCAAGAGCAGATTGCTTGTTAGTTTTTAAAATTATGAGAGTAACTTTAAATTGTATATCGTCTTATTTCTAACTAAACAATATGTATATAATCATATAATAAATCAAGCTTTATTTAATAATGCATAACTAAATGAATAAAGTGATTTTAAAATAATTATTAATTATAATATATTCAAAAATATAAAATTGATTCTAGACAATTAAGGTAAAATATAATCCTTTAAGCTATTAGTATCATATTTTAGGTTTGCTCGATATTATTCAAATTATATTATTTCCATAAATAATAGAATGAAATTTGTACTGTGATTGTTTAAAATATCTGTAAACATACATAGTATTATTTTAGCATATTTACATTAATATATAAACTAAAGTTTATGTCTTTGATCATTTAAATGACATTTATAAAAGTCTATATAGCTCAACTAAAGAAGGAATTAATGGTGAGAAATGATGAAAATATTGGGAATTATGCTTTATTAGTGAAAAAATAGAGTTTGACGATTAAACAAAATTAATTGAAATCAACAGTAATAAAAATAAAATCAACTTGATAATAAAAAAATATTGGGCAATTATATATATTCCCATTATTAATATATAGTAAGAAACTTTAAATAGTTATTTTAGAGATAAAATGAGTTAGTTTGCTTTTATAGATTTTTTGGTTTGAAACTGCTAAATTTTATTGAATTAAAAGAAAGACAGTTTCAAAATTTTAATTATATAAGTGAAAAAATTTGATATTATTTTTTAATAATTTTATTAATGAGTGATCCATTTGATTTAGCATAGGATGCCTTGGAGGCTTAAGATTTTAAGAAAGCTATTGAAATTGCAACAGAGCAAGCCACCTTAGACCAAGATTATGAGTATTTTTACAGAAAACTAATTGGGCAATCTTTACTTGGCGATTATTTATTGAAGTCATAAACATAAAAGGACTTAAAATTATCAAAGCAGGCTCACGAAGAATTATTAAAAAGTTGGGCACTAAAATAAGAGGATAATGAAGAAGCATTATTATACTTGGCTGATGTTGAATTCTAATTAGGTATGTATGAAGAAGCAAAGGCTCATTATTTATAATTGTCTGTACTTGTACAGAAAGAAAGTAAATAATAGGCTACTTTATCTGCATGCTATACAGGTTTGGCTGATTGTGAAATGAAGATGAATAAGTTTGAAGAAGCAATAAAATAATATTAAAATGTTATCGACAGAAAAGATAAATAAGAAAATTAAGATTATGGTTAAATCTATAGAAAAAGAGCAAGTTGTTTTTATAATATAAATGATTACAAGAGTGCAGAAGCAGATATCAAATAAGCTCTTTTACTAAATCCAAAAATGGTTTAACTTTATGCGTTACAATCAAGGATATTTGAAGCATAAAACAAATATAAAGAAGCAGAAGAATTTTTGAATAAAGTTCATAAAGATTGTTTAAATGATCCAGTTATTCTTGAAGCTAAAGGTAAGATCTATCTTCATCAATTAAAATATTCAGATGCTGAAAAAATCTTTTCATAAATTAAAGGTGTAGAAGGATAGTTAGGATTGGCTCAATCATATTTGAAATAAAAGAAATATCCTTAAGCTATTACCTAATATGAAGAAATTATAAAGTAAAGTCCATAAAATTTGGGTGCTCTCAATAATTTGGGTATCTGTTATTTGGAAAATTAGAAATTGGATGATGCAAAATTAATGTTTGAAAGAGTAACAGCATTAAGTCCAAATGATATGATTGCCATAAGTAATTTGGCTGATATAGAATTTAAATTGGCTTAATAGAATAAGGATGGAAAATAAGAAGATCATATAAAAGAAACAATTCGTTTATGTGAAATTGTTACTAAATCACCAGATCCTTTTGAAAGAGCTGTATCTTTTAATCGTTTAGGAGCTTGCTATTAAATTTAAAAGAAATACAAAGAAGCTGAAGAAGCATTTATAAAAAGTATAGCTGCTGAACCAAGATTTGTATTAGCATGGGCAAATAAAGCATAAGTAGAATTATTATTAGATAAACCTGGAGAATCTTTAGCAAGTTTAAAGAAATCTGAAGAATTGTTGAAAGATGATTTTTCTAAAAGAAACTTGTCTGATGCTAATATTAACTTTATTTAATAAGGACTTAAGAAAATTGTTTCATTACAAGAGAATTTTGGAAAAGCTGCTGATGAAATTAAAGCTAAAATGGATGCAATGCTCAAAAGACCTAATGTATTGGCTGGTCATAAAAATATTACAAAAGAATATGAAGATTTAGAAAAACAAAGAATTGAAATGCTTAAGAAATAATATGAAAAAATATAAACTAATTAAGGGAAATCTGAAGGAGATGATAAAGATTATGAAGCATTGCAGTAGTAAATAGAATAACTAAAGAAAAAGATTGATAATTAATCTAAAGAAATTGATGAAATTGAAAAGAAATAAAAAGAATAAGCTAAAAGAACTGCAGCTTTAGAATAAAGAGTTGATAAAATGAGAGATACTTTAAGAGCTGCAGGTGTTTATGATTAAGGAAAAATTAAAGTTTGGATGAATGAGAATAGAAATACAGAAGAAGGTAGATATGCAAAAGCTTTTTATTGGACATTGCTTAATTATATTGATTCATATAGGGCTGCTAGTACAGGAATATTATAGACAAATGTAGAACATGCTGAAATAGATAACAAAGTAAGCACAGGAGTTACATTAGCAAAAAAAGCATTAGAAGTAGGATCATCACTTTGTGAGAGTTTACCTTTGGTTGGTAGTATTTTTAAAGTAATTGATGGTGCAATTGATTATTGTTATTCAGAATATAAATAGAAGAAATTTGAGGATAAAGTAAATTCTATAAATAAAATCATTATGGAAAATCATACAGCCAACACATAAGAGGATTTAAGTTAGGTTATAACAAAAGCAGCTATTGAAATAGCTAAAAAGAAATCATCTGCTAAAGTGTTCATTTAAATATAATTTGAATTAGAAAATCCTAAACCACCTGGTATGATTGATAAAATAACTGGATTCTTTACTTCTAAAATTAATTAAATTAGAGAATATGCTTTAGGTAAATAAATTGAACTTTATGATTCTGTTGGTGGAGGAGAAGCATTAAAAGATGTTATACTTTGTTTGGCACATTTATAGAAAAATTTTGCAGAGGTTATTAAAAAATCTGAAACAATTTTATTAGATGTTTAGATTGAATAAATTGTAACAGAAAAAATCTAGACTCTTTTAAAGGATGTAAAGGAAGTACCATAAACTTTAGATCCAATTATGGAAGATGATTGGGAAGTACCAGAATAAACTCCAGAATAAATTAAATACCTATAAGAGGAAAAGGCTAAAAAAGAATAATTAAAATAAGAGGCTGAAAAGAAAAAATAATAAGAAATTGATGAATAATAAAAGAAATAATAATAATAATAATAATAATAATAATAATAATAATAATAATAATAATAATAATAACAATAATAATAACCACCACCTTAATAGCCTCCCTAATAACCACCTCCTTAATAATAAGCTTCATAACCACCTTCATAATAATAAGCTTAATAGCCTCCTCCTTAATAATAAACAAAATAGCCCCCTCCATAATAGACTCCTGCTTAATAACAACAATAATAAAATAATTAAATACAATAAGAAGAGGAAGAAAATGTATAAGTTTAGTAATAAAATAAACCGATCGAAGTTGGAAATCAAGATTAACCAAAAAAATAAACTGAAGAAGGTAAATAATTATAATATATATTTAGCTAGAGGTAGTAGTTGCTGTATAATTTACTGATAGAACTACAATCATGAAATTGATTAATTTTATAAATTAAATTCATAATTATTAAGCTTATTAAATATTTTCAGCATATTTATACTCAAATAATTTTAGTAATGATTAAAATAAATAAATTATTAGAGTAGCTGATTACTAATAATTTAATTTAAAACCATAAATAAGAATATTATATAGAGTTTTTTTTATATTGTAAATGGATTAATGGAATGACATTCTTCAGGACACATTTGCAGGCTCAATTGGAGGTGTTACTTTTGTTTTGAGTGCACATCCATTCGAGTAACAATAAATATCATATTAGCACAATTAAAGTGAGAATGTAAATGTTCTCTGAAAACACATCTATTCTTAAAACAGCCTATAAAATATTCAAATACGAAGGAGTAATAATCTATATTATAAATAATATTAGCCTTTTGCTTTCTATAAAGGAGTTATTTCACCACTTATATTTAGTTTTCCGGTTTCAGTAACTTTATTTGCATGTTATGAATAATACATGAGATATTTTTAAGTTGACAGAGATTCTTATTAATTAATGCATTGTATATTTAATTTCATTAAATAGGGGGTGTTGGTGGAGCTTATGCTGGATTTATTTAAAGTTTTGCTACTAGTCCATCAGAATTATTTAAGATTGTTTTTTAAATGTAAATTTCAGAGTAAGAGCGTAAATCTGTTTTGAGATGCATATTTGAGTTTGTAAATAAGGAAGGAATAGCTGCAGTCTTTAAGGGAATCAATTCAACAATATTCAGAGACATCCCTTAATATACAACTTTTTTTATTACATTTGAATCTACTAAATAGTATTTACAAAGTGAGAAAGGATATTTAACTATAATCGATTAATTTATAGCTGGTATAACTGCAGGCTTAGTGTGCATTTGCTTTTCCTATCCTTAAGATATGGTGAAAACAAAAATCTAGTATGAAATTCTTGAATCTAAATAAAATCGAAAGTATAAAGGTATTGATGGTGGCATTTCTATGTGCATTAAAGAAATTTATAAAACAGCAGGTTTCAAAGGCTTTTGGCAAGGGTTCAATAGTTGTGCAATCTATTATATGGTAGCATGTTCAGCACAATTAGTTGGGTATTAATATAAACTATTTCTAGATATGAGCAAGGTCGAATGTTTTGGGATACTTACGTTAAAAATTGATATTTAATTATATTAAATCTATTTATACAACTGAATAATTTATAAAAATAATATTTTTATGTAATACTCTAATTCAGAAATTTATGGAGATTATTGTGTGTATTTTACAGAACTTTTAGGATCTGGGAGTTATGGTAAAGTTTATGGTGCTAAATAGATTAGCACTAATCAAATGATTTGTGTTAAAGTATAAATTGTATTTAAATTAGATTATTAGAATTACTAATGAAAATGAAAAGCTGTTAGAGAGAGAAATTATAATATTAAAGAAACTAATAGAATTCGAAAATCCTCATTTAATTAAAATATATGATATTTCTAAATAGAATAATTAGTTACTGATATTTATGGAGAGATGCCAATAAACTTTGGGTGATTATATAACAAAAAATAAACAATAGAAATAATTATTATCACTATTTGAAATTATAGATATAGCTAAATAGATAATAAATGGCTATCGGGATTTATATTCTCATAATATAATCCATAGAGATCTCAAACCAGAGAATTTATTAATTGGAACAGATAATAAAATTAAAGTAATGAACAAAATTAATGTATAAGATATGTGATTTTGGATTTGGAAAGATTCTGAATTTTGATAATCAATTCTTTTTATAAACAATTATTGGTACACCATTATATGTATCACCTCAAGCATTAATGACTGGTTAATATTCATCCAAAACAGATGTTTATAGTGTAAATATTTATATAAATATAGTTTGGATTATTAATTTATTACCTTATTTTCTAAGAATCATATTATAAAGTTTAAACATTGGATTAATTATTTTAGAAAATAATTGTTTTGGATAAGGAATTTTCAATAGGAGAATTCAAGAATTAAGGAAATGAATAAGACTCTATATTATTAAATTATATATTACATGGATGTATTAAATACCATGAGAAAGATAGATTTGATTGGGAATAGTTATTTTAAATCTTTGATTAAATCACAATACTTAAACCTAGACCATAATCAAAAAGAGTAATTGACTAAAGACAAAATAGCAATTCTTAATCTAAATTAAGAAACATTTAATAAGATGAGTAGCTTTAATAAATTCCATAAGATTAATAAAATAAAATAAACTAAAATTTGAATTAAAAACCTCCTTTAAAATAGAATCCTGAAAATGGGAATCAATTTAGAATATCTAATTATAAATAATCTTTTGAATGTATTTAAATGACTTATATAAGATTAGTCTTCAAGAGAAAGATAAAACAAATCTCAAGAGAATAATTAAACCAAAACAAGAGATACTTCAAATGATAATATAAATTTAAGAATTAGTTAAACTCCTGAAAGAACCAATAATTCACGTTAAATTAATTATTCAACTTAATGTAGATCTAGAAAATATAGAATAAATTCCTCTAAAGAGAAAGATAATAAAACTAATAATAATGGTTATATTATTAAATTATAGTAATAGAAGTAGTTAATAAAATAGAATGAATTTGAAAAAGATTATTTATTAAACAAAGAAGAAAACAAAATTGAATTAAATTATAATAATAATTAATAATAATATGTTAAAGCATATTAAATCAAATAGAATAATCAATCTTAATAAAAATTAATAAAATCACCAAGTTTTAATTAAAATATATAAAAACTTTAAAATAACTATTTTAAATAGCATTTATGTAATTAAGATAATGATGTTATACAATTTTTAAAGGAAGATACTACTTAATAGTAAAATTATGAAACAAAAATCATTATGTTACAATAAATATTAAAAGGGATTTTTGCAAAAGTATAATTAGCTGAAAATTTATCTTCATCTTCAAGTAATTTGATTTAGATATTGGATTATAGATTATCTTTATTTCGATTTCTCATAATTAATTATCAATAATCATTTCTAGAAAATATTAATTCAATTTACAACAATGATAAAAATCTATTGTTATATCCTTTATAGAATTAATTAATTGAATTTATAGATCCTATTAATTTAATTTTGGATGAACGAATTAAGAAAAAGATGAGTAACTTAACATCAATATTATAAAAGCTTTAATTAAAAAATTAAGTAAATATTTATATTATAATTTAAGATGGCATTAAAATATATAAATAATATTTTAAAGGAAAAAGAGAAATATAATGTAGAAGATATTGTTACATTGATAGAAACAAATGAAATTAAATATAATTATGGAAGTATTTTAGAATCATATGAAAATCATTACAATAAATTCTTAGAATAACATTAATATGATTTAAGTTAGATTAAATCTGGAGACTTACTTAAGTATACTATGAGAATGAAAATAGGTTCTTGGGGTATTCTACAAAATTCATACTAAGTGAAAGTCTTTATTCTATAGAGAAATTGAAGAGCATAAATATTGAAGAAATACATAATTTATCTGATAATTCTCTTATTTTAGAAAAATTTATTAAAGAGAATTGTAAGAAAAACCTAAAATTTTGATTTTATATTAAAATAATATTAATTTTAAATGGAATTTAATTACGATCAAATTAAAGAGAAACTTAAAGGATATGATCTCTAAACAAAGATTTAATTAATTGCCTTGTCATAGTGTTTATATGATAGAAAGAACTTAGATCATTAATAGGATTAAGAATTAGACTAGATGGAAGGTGATTATAAGAAAAGAGTTGAACCTTTAATTGAAGCCTCAAATTAAATAATTTCAGGTGAAAGATTAGTCAAAGAAGAGGAAGTAGAAGATTTAAAAGAATATTTAAATGCTTAAGAATAACCTATATTGGATAATCAAGAACCAATAGAAAATTATTGGTCTAAAGTTTTATTAAATTCAAAGACATTAAAAAATGAAGTAATTGGAGATAGAGATGAACCATTATTAAAGGCAATAAAAAATATAAGAGGATTTGAAAATAAGGAATAACACAAATTAGGATTGATATTCTAATTTAAAGCAAATGATTATTTCCCAGAGGAAGAATTAAAAGTTGAATTTTTATTAGATGATAAATAAGGAGAACCTCTTAAAGTTGAAAGTACAAAAATAAATTGGAAGGAAGGTAAGAACATTTCAGTAAAGATTGTTAAGAAGAAGAATAAATAGAAGAAGAAGGTAAAGGAAGTAGAATAAAAAACATTGTTTTAATTATTTAAGAATTTAGATGTAAAAGATTGGGAAAAATTGGAAGAAGATAAGAAAGAAGAATAATAATAGAAAATGGATATGTGTTATGATATTTGTAGATTAATTTATGATGAAATATTACCATATTCTTTGGAATATTATTTAGATGTACATGTTGAAGATGATGATTATGAAGGAGAAGATATGGATGATGATAATGAAGATGATGATGAAGAATTAACAAAAGAAGAAGCAATTAAAAGAATGAAAGAAAGAAGAGGATTCAAAAAGTGATTTGTATAGTAATAATTATGTTTAAGATAATATTCGTTTTTCTCTTTTTTACTTATTTTTTTGATTAATATAATAAATGAAATCAGCATTGTTGGTTGTTGTTTTGATTGCCTGTCTTTAGGCAACTACAGTTTCTGAACTCAAGGAAAAACTTTCAGGATATGGAGATCATCCTTTTGGATCATCTATGATAAATTTAGTAAGTGTTAACATGAAAACAGGAGGATCATTAAATGAATTAAAATAGCTCTTATAATAAATTAAGGATGAATTAATAGCCTTAACTTAATTGTAAGATTAAGAAAGTGCCACTTTTACTAGAAGAAGTCAAGTTGATTTGGCTAAGCTATAAGCTACACTTGAATAAGCTTAATAAGATCTTGATAATTAAAGATAAGAATAATCAAGTTTGAGTAATGAATTAAGTACATTATAAACAAGAGTCAAAGAAGGTAATATAAATTTTTTGAGTATTTTTTAGATTAAGCAGCCTTAGATCGTAATTCTAGAGGAAGTGGTGATGCTTAAAGTAGATTAGATGCTGAGAATACAGATTTCGCTGCTAAATACTAAGATTATAGTGATGCTATTCTTGCATGTAAGGAAGCATAAAGATTACTTATGAATTTAAGAGGAGAAGGTGCATCATTAATTTAATTGACGTATCCAATTCATATTATCTATTTAGTTAAGACACTAAGAGTAATCTCATCTAAACTAAGGAGAATTTCTAAAAAATCAAAGAAATCTTAGAAGCTCATACTAAGAAAAGTTCATTAACATTGTTCTAACCAATCATTGAAGGATTAGCTGAAATGACTACTAAAGTTAATCCAGAAACATTAAATAACGTTTTGAGTTTAGTTGCTAGATTAATCACTGCATTATAAGAAGGTTAAGATTAATTAGAAGCTAACCATAAAACTTAAGTTGAAAATCTTACTAGATTGGGTGATGATTTGAGAAATGAAAAATAAACACTCTAAGTTTCATTAGCCACTGCAAATAATAGACTTAAAGAGATCTAATCAAGATTAAATGAATTAGATGGATTAATTAATATTTCTAATGCTATTGTTGAAGTTACTTAATTAAATATTTAAGATGCTACTAGAATTAATGAATTAGAAGATCAAGAATATAGCAATTAAAAAGTCAGCAGGTACTCTATTTTATCATAATTAGATAAACTGAAATTGATATCGTAGATAGATTAATTGAATACATCAACCAAAAGTTATCTGAATGATTTATACATAATAATAATCATACAAATTTCACATTTTTAAATCTATTAAATTTGATTACATATATGTATTCAAATATTACATTATTGATTTTTTATTACATATTTTAAAATACAATTTCAGATGATATTAAAAAAAATGGATTAATATATTCATTAAATTTATGAATAATATCGATATAATAGTTAATCATTATTATATAAGTTTGTTAAATATGTCAAATCAAATGATTTTCTGATTTAGATTCATTATAAATAAAACTTAATATTCAAGATAAATTCATTACTTATAACTTCTCTATATAAAAAATGCAAAATTTTTGTTCATTTATTTTTAATTTTATATAAAATGAATTGATAAATAAATGAATATTAAGAATAAAGAATTACTATTAATTGTAATTTTTATATGCTAAAGACAACATTAATATATTAAAATATATTAAATTTTATAAGTATTTATTAATAATTAAATTTTTAGAATTTCAAAAAAATAAAATTAAAAATAATTAATTTTTAATATTTGTTCTAATTTTATAAAAATACATCATCTTCAAAAGATTTAATAATAAAATCAAATGGTACCATAATGAATTTGAAAAGATTTAAATTTTATATTAATCAATATCATTAAGATTAGTCAGTGTATTAGGAGTCAAGGTTATGTGAAGATATGATTTACTTTATTTTAATTAAATATTATATTTAATGAACAGAGACTTGGAGTTGGCTAGATAAGCTTATAAGGGCAAGAATGTGGAGATGACTAAGCAGGCCCATAATTACAATCCTTCAGAACAATTATATACTGATGTAAAAGTGAATGAGAATGACCCATTAAAAAAGTAAGGTATTTTGATATTATAGAACATTCCATAGATTCTCATACAGAGAAGCATTCAACAGGGGGAAACTATTTAAGAAGTTCTGTTTTTGGTGGTATGGATGGGATGATGACAACATTCTCTGTTGTTACTGCTGTTATTGGAGTAAATTGTTTTATAACATCTAGGGTAATTTTGGAGTACAAGCTGTTTTAGCCTTAGGAATAGCCAATATGATAGGAGATGGATTATCAATGGCTTTAGGGGATTATTTGTCTACAAAATCAGAATAATAATTTTTTAAGTAGGAGAGAGAAAGAGAAAAATGGGAAGTTGAAAATAATTTGGAAGGAGAGAAAAAGGAGATGGTTGAATTATATAAAGTATGATGGATATTTAAATATAAGAAAAAAGGAATGGAATAAGAAGATGCAGAAAAAATAATGAATATTATAAGCAGACATAAGGATGCATTTATAGATATCATGATGTTAGAAGAGTTAGAATTAGGAGGTGCAGAAGAAAATCCATTAATGAATGCTTTAGTGACTTTCATTGCTTTTATTTTATTTGGATTAGTCCCAAGTATAAGATGCTATAAATATTATAATAGTTATTCCAATTATTGTTGCAGCTATTGCAGGATTGACTGATGGTANTATTCAAGATAAATTCATTACTTATAACTTCTCTATATAAAAAATGCAAAATTTTTGTTCATTTATTTTTAATTTTATATAAAATGAATTGATAAATAAATGAATATTAAGAATAAAGAATTACTATTAATTGTAATTTTTATATGCTAAAGACAACATTAATATATTAAAATATATTAAATTTTATAAGTATTTATTAATAATTAAATTTTTAGAATTTCAAAAAAATAAAATTAAAAATAATTAATTTTTAATATTTGTTCTAATTTTATAAAAATACATCATCTTCAAAAGATTTAATAATAAAATCAAATGGTACCATAATGAATTTGAAAAGATTTAAATTTTATATTAATCAATATCATTAAGATTAGTCAGTGTATTAGGAGTCAAGGTTATGTGAAGATATGATTTACTTTATTTTAATTAAATATTATATTTAATGAACAGAGACTTGGAGTTGGCTAGATAAGCTTATAAGGGCAAGAATGTGGAGATGACTAAGCAGGCCCATAATTACAATCCTTCAGAACAATTATATACTGATGTAAAAGTGAATGAGAATGACCCATTAAAAAAGTAAGGTATTTTGATATTATAGAACATTCCATAGATTCTCATACAGAGAAGCATTCAACAGGGGGAAACTATTTAAGAAGTTCTGTTTTTGGTGGTATGGATGGGATGATGACAACATTCTCTGTTGTTACTGCTGTTATTGGAGTAAATTGTTTTATAACATCTAGGGTAATTTTGGAGTACAAGCTGTTTTAGCCTTAGGAATAGCCAATATGATAGGAGATGGATTATCAATGGCTTTAGGGGATTATTTGTCTACAAAATCAGAATAATAATTTTTTAAGTAGGAGAGAGAAAGAGAAAAATGGGAAGTTGAAAATAATTTGGAAGGAGAGAAAAAGGAGATGGTTGAATTATATAAAGTATGATGGATATTTAAATATAAGAAAAAAGGAATGGAATAAGAAGATGCAGAAAAAATAATGAATATTATAAGCAGACATAAGGATGCATTTATAGATATCATGATGTTAGAAGAGTTAGAATTAGGAGGTGCAGAAGAAAATCCATTAATGAATGCTTTAGTGACTTTCATTGCTTTTATTTTATTTGGATTAGTCCCAAGTATAAGATGCTATAAATATTATAATAGTTATTCCAATTATTGTTGCAGCTATTGCAGGATTGACTGATGGTACAACTAATACGTTGTTTTATATATCTATTGCTATGACTATTTTATTCTTAATAATATTAGGAGTTAGCAAATCATTCTTCTCATATGCAACTTGGTGGAGATGTGCTGCTGAAACACTTTTCGTAGGTGCTTGTACAGCTAGCTCAAGTTATTTGATTGGTATGGCATTTGAAGGATAAGATATTAGTTGAATATATGAATAATAAATATATTTATTAAATTCATTTCTTTTTCATGTTACTCTATTTATTCAAATACATTAATATTAAACCTAAAACACTTCCTATTACAAGACCAGGTGCCCAATTGAAAAACCATCTTGGAAAGAAAAACATCTAGTATTGTTCACTTAATAATGGTTGTCCAAATGTTGTTAATGTGCCATAAAGAAATGCAGCAATTGCTATCAATTAAAATATTTTCCCTAGCAATTAATCCATTTTTAATTAATTTATATATATTTTTTAATTTAATTCATATTTCAATATTATATCCCATACTCATACCTTTTACGTGTTGCCATTTTAAACAATATCCTAATATTCCTACTTTTGTCAAAAAATCAATTTTCCCTAATATTTCCTTTTCTGTTGAAACACCTATTAAAAATTTTAATTTATTATTCAATCTATTTTCAATTGAATTTATTTGAAAATATGCATTCACATCATATTTCTTATTATTAATATTATAAAGTGCAACACTATATGTATTTAAAATCTTAGCTTTTTATATAAAACCAACCCATATTCTGTTATTTTACAATCCAATTTATATTTTATATGGTTTCATAAAATTACCAATCAATTAATATTCTGTATTTTATCTATTTAATAGAGATGAAAATATGTTAAATCGAACATTTAAATTATCTTTTTTACTTAAATAACTATATTTGAATCCAACATCTAAATTTGAATTGTTTCCTGAATTTTAACTGATCTAAATTTAAGGAGTAAATGTATGTTTTGTTAATAGATCCTTTTCATAATTGTATTTTAAACCAAGTAAAATACTATATCTATTGGATCTATTGATTAAATGAAATTAGTATTGAATTTACTATAATATCAAATATTCATTTACTTATTAATCTTGTGACTATGATTTTATAATTGTATTTGTATTCTTATTGTTTGCCATAAAAACAAATTTCTGATTGTCTTATTTATATTTCCAAGTCAAATTTAGATTCTCTTTGTTTGTTAAATTAAATTAGGTTTTTAAATGAGGCAAATCATTTAATTAAATATTGAATCCCTAATACAAAAAGTGTTCCTAGAAGAATCTATTAAAGTAAGGATTTTCATCATATAAATTTTAATAAAATTACATTAAATTTAATCATTTATATAATACATCTCTCGATTTAATTAAGTTATATTCTATTCCTACTCTTAAATGTAATTAAGTAATAGTTTTATATATTCTATCCTCTTAGCCAATTATTTTTATTAGTGTGAAGAGGTGATTATATAATAATAATAATAATTTTATTCAATAATTGCTTATATACTTTTACTATTTCATTTTCATGAACATTTATATATTAATAAAAATAATTCATTTAGTCTTTTATGTGATAATATTTTATGATTTCTTAATTCTTCAATTAATTATTATTGAATCACTTAGTTTTTCTAATAATACATTATAAACTAATGAACCTTTGATCTTTGTAATTCTATTTTAATATTATATTCTAACTTTTGATTTTCTCTTTCTAAATTACACCTTATATGTTTAAAGTCTAATAATTTCTCATTTAATTCCATTTATTTTTCTTACTATTTCACAATCAACCTAGAAACTTTGATTTGAGTTTAGTTAAATGGTTAACAAGTGCATTTTAGATGTATTTAAAGATATATATTAATAATTATAATTTGCGTTTTTAATGTGATAAATAAATTAATAATGGATTAAGTAAATGCTATGCAATAATACATAACAAAATTGAAAACTGCACTGGCTGAATAATAATAAAAAAATAAAGATTTAGAATCTAAATTAGATTAGGAACATAAATTAGTATAAACATTAGAAGAAAAATTAGAATATACTGAGAAAAAGTTATCCAATGAAAAAGAACAAGTTGAAATTTTAGGAATTAAAGTTGATGAATATGAGAAAAAATTAAAAAGCATTTCTGATACTAAAGTATAAATATTATTGTATTTAAGAAACAAAGCTTTTTAGGGAAAGTGTTTAATAATTCCTAATTAGATTAATTGACAATTAAAATTAATTAAACAGAATAATCATTGGATCTATAAATTTAAGAGAATGAAAAATTACATGCTTAAGTGTTCACACTTAAAACTCAATTAGAATTATAACAGAATTAATTCGATGAAGAACAAAAATTATCTTAATAAAAATTCTCGAAATTAAGATTATATTATCAATAAGAAAAAACTAAAAAAGAAGATCTAGAAAAATAAATTTAATAATTAAATCTAGTTCAAACTGGATTAAGATATGAAATTAATCAATTAAACATATAAATTGAATAATTGAAAAAAGAAATAGACAATAAATAACAAGAGTTTTTAATTACTTAACAATTACTTGATAAAAATTAAGATGATATGAAAAAGTTGACTTAAGATCTTATTAATTAATAATAGGATATGTATATATTATTTTATTAAATATATAGTCGATTATTAGAATAAGAGAAAGTTGAATTTTAAAGTTTTGTTTAAGAAATTAAAAATTATGTTACAGGATTATCTATTGATTAATAATATTAAGAATTAATTAATAGTTTAAATGAAATCATATCAAAAATACATAAATAAACATATTCAAAGGAATTATTTCTGTAAGCTAAACCAGGAAATTATGAAATCTTTAAATTAGCATAAGAAAAAATACTTAAATTAGGGAAAAAAGTATAAATATTATTATATAATTAAGAATGAACAATTAATTAAGTAAAATAAATAGTTATAAGATAAATTATAAGTATAAAAGAGTAAATAAGAATGAAATTAATATATCTATTAATAAAAGAGAAAGTAGTATTTTATAAAATTTCATTTGATTACTTTTAGTGGTTATCTTTTACACATTTCTGCAAGTTTATTCTTTAAATTAATGGTACATGATTATTCTGGACTCTTGCTACCAAAGAAATATTTCAATGATCTATTATTTAAGGATAAGATACATTTTAGAATCTTAATTCATCTATGATGTACTTGTTTAATTTTATTACTTAAACATGTCTTATTTCAATTTTGTAAATTTATTGAGGTAATAATTTTATGTTCTGCTTTTTTATCCATTAAAACTTTATGACATAATATGGCTTTAATTATTTGAGGATAAATTTATATATTATCTTGATGTATTATTATTATTATTATTATGTTATGAATATTATGATCGTTTTGCTACAGATTTACGAATAAATGAAATTATTTATTCATTTGTTTATTTTTCTATTGATTTATTCTTTTTTAATGCATCTATGTAACTAACTTAATTTTCATCATATTATTCTGTTTTGTATCTAGTAGATTATCTATTAGCTTTCATAGATTTATCAGACATGATCTTAATTAATGATTTAGCTTTGATGGATTCTTTAGATGATTGTAAATGTTTGCTGTTAGTTTATTTTTTTTAATATTATTTACGTAGATCATATGTCCCTACTTTTTATAGTTCTTCTAATGAACTGTCACTACTTTCATCATAATATTCAAATGGAAATCGATACTCATTGTTATGACGAGCCAATTTATATTTTTATTCCACTTCTTATTGGAATTTACGTAGTTGTTATTTCTAATCTTCATCATCTGTTTGAGGTTTACTTGATATCTTTTTAAGACATTATAATAATTATTCTTGCTTCTTTTTAACTACTTAATCCATTTTTATTATTTTTTAATATTTTGGGAAAAATTAACTAAAAATGTTATTTTCTTTGAATTCACTATTTTATTAAGAAATTTATATATATGATTTAATCTAATATCAATATAATAAGAAACCTATAATTAATAATAAACTTATATTTTATATTGTATATATGTATATTTCTCAATCTATTTTTGTTTTTTTAGATATTATTTCAACATCATCATCATAATCAACTAATCTCTTTTATGATTATTTATGCAAATTTGTACTATGACCTTAAACAGATTTAAATAGATCTATTTCATTATCAACTACATTATAATTTATTTATTATTATGGTTTAGTTTCTGAATTTAAAGTACTGAATTGATTCTTCATACAATTATTCTTTATGTTTTTTATAATATCATGGACTTTTAAATAATTTGAATGTTTTTCCCATATCTTTAATTCTTATTCCTAAAATAATTGAAGATTGTTATACTAGAGATTTAATTATATTTTGATTTGCTCCTTCATATATAATCTTAATTATTTCCAATAACTGTGAATATATTAAATTTTCTCTTAATCCTTTATAAACAAGAAGAGGTGTTATCAAATTTGGTAATGCCATTATAATTTCCTTATTTATATCTTCATCTCTTTATAAAATCATTATTTTAAAAAATTATAAACACTTTGTTTATAAAATTTTATTTCTTTCTTGTAAGATAAATCCTATCTTCAAAGTAATTTAATTTAAAATGAATACTTCTTTTACAGAAGCTTTTAAATTTCTGGATAATCCCAAAGATATTTCAACAAATTATGTTTTCATTTCAATCTTAGATTCATGAGATATCTATTGAGATAATTTTGGATAAAATAATTATAAAAAGCAATCTAAAACTTCATTTTAATCATCTTAACTGTTATCAATTAATAGTTTTAATATTTCTAGATATAATTCATTCTCAAATGCCTGATCAACAATTAAATTAAATAAAGGATATTTTAGTACTTATTAATGTTCACTAATTATATATTATCTAAAATTGTAAGGATAATGTTATAAACATGATATAACTAATTCTAATATCATAGTAGGTACTTTTTAATAAATATCATCCTATTTTAAATTATATAAATTAATACTTAAATTTTTAACTTCAATTTTTTGAATTTAGCTTTTTATTTTTGAAAATCTTATAGAGAATCTACAATATAATCTTCAACAATTTCATATAATCCATGTTCACCTAATTTCTAATAAATAAATGCTTTATTTAGCTTAATATATAGTATGTATATATTTACATCTTGGAATTCTTTAAAAAGTGAACATATTTCACTTAGGAATCTCAAGGCTAAGAAATTGTAATTTCGTAGTTGATCAATCAATTCAACTAGAAATTCCTTTGAATTCTCAATGTATTTAAGGAGGTCCACATAACAACTCTTAATAATCTATCATGATTTTTATTACGTTAAAACTATCTTAATAAACATCAACTGGCACTCGTCGATGTAGTAGGCCAAACTACAATCGCGCAAGTACTACAGTCGATATATGAAGTGAATGGTTTTCAATCGCTCTTTACTCTTGATTTGGACAACTTGTAAAAATGAAACATTCTTCTCTAAAAATTATCTATGAGGAACAAAGTTTTTCTTAGTCATTTCTTCATCATCTAATAAATTATATATAATAATAATATACATTCTAAAGCACCAAAGATAAATTAATAATTTTAATCATTCAATATTGTTTAAAATAGTTCATGTTCAGAAACAGTCACAATCTAAATTATAATAATTATTTACATTCTTAACTATTGAACACATAATTTATAATAATTCTTGATTGTGATCTTTTTCTAATTTATTGAATAAACTATTTAACATTTCTAAATAATCCTAGATTCATTTTAAATTAAATTACTTTATTATTAAGTAAATAATTTGAAAGCACTTATTTTGCTTATGTACCACTTTAAACTAATTTATTCATTGTTTCTAATATAATTCCAAGAGTATTCTCATTTACAGGAGTCAAAACTATAGATTCATCATCATCTTCTTCATTCAAAATATTTTTAATTTTATTCCAAACTATTTAAGCTCCTTCTCTACTTTAGAAACTAAGTCCATAGTACTCATTAAATTGAAATTAAATTCCTTCTTCTATAAAATGAATAATACTCTTACCTCCATCAAAAAAGAAATCATATTATTAATTTACTTAAACTGCAAATACTTCCATACTTGTGTCTTTCTCTAAAAGTAACATTTCATTCTAATTTATTAAATCAAATTAAGAACTTTTGAATTAAAATGAATATATCCTGTATTCACCCAATTCCATTTATCTTAGATAAACTAGTGCAATTTGCACAAAAGAATTTCAGAGTTTTGTTTCATTTGATATTTTAAATATTAAATCTTATTTTATCAAAAAACAATCATTTAATTATTAACATACTTATTTTAATTCATTAATTAATTATCTTCTCAATTTAAAGAAATTTTATCATTATTATGATGATTATTGATGTTATTATAATCATATAAAATATGAAGATGATTTTAAAATATTATCTATAATAATGATAAAAAAAAAAATAAATTATTCTCAATTTAATTTAACTTTTTTGGATGTATTTGATTCAGTATCACTTTAGAATTATTCTAATTATTTTAGTATTTCTTAAGCAAATTATTCATCAGATTCTAAACATTGTTATTTAAATACTTTGATACACTAAAATAAATTACATATTTTATACTTTGAGAATATTATTATTTTATATTTCCATTTCTTCATTAGTAACTAATAGATCTTATATTTATTTTAGAATTAAATCATTTTCTCTACTTGTTAATGCACTACTCTATTCAAGTTCTTTAAGATAAGCTTTTTTTCTATCTCTAGAATTCTATGCAGATATACGATTTCTTATCATTTGTATCGTTTTTTTATCACTAAAATAAGTATAAGTGATACTGATCACTATTATCTTCAACAAATTGTTTTTCAGCACATTTGATAGGTTTTCTACCTCTTTTAGCTTTTTTTGGTTCTTAGGGTTATTGATTTGAATATAGATGAGGTTATAGGATTTACATACGGAATTTAGCTTTGTCTCTATAAAATTTGCGTTTTGCTTTAAGCATCATTGATTCAAATTCAATAGGTTTATTACGAGCAAACCAATCAACATATTCTTCATTTAAGTTAAGTATTGAAGAAACAATTTAACAAAGATTAGAATTCTCATAAGTAATAAATTAAGGTTATTCTTCATAATATTAGAATTATGAACATTCTTCCTATTTAACTGAGGATAAATCGTCTTAGTCTTCAATGATACCTGTAAGAATGTAATGGTGATATGGGTTCATTTAATTTAATTATATATTAGTATAATTGGAAAAAAACTGATTCTTAAGATTCAAATTGGATGTGAAAGTAGAATAATTAGATGTAAGTATATATTAATTGAATAATATTTATAATTAAATGAAAAAGACACATAAGAAATAATCCACAATCTATAGATAATCAATTGCAATGACTGAAATAACACAGAAATTGATAGAAAAAAACGATGTTTTGGCATAAGAAATATAAAAAATAGTAAAGAAATTATCTCCTGAAAGCAGAATAGAAAAAGCTGAAAGACATATTTATGATGCCTATTATTTAAGAGCAATACGTAATGACATAGATTTAGTGAATAAGAAATATTTGAAACTTTTATGGTATTTAGAGAACAATCAATATTGGTTAAGTTTTTTATTTATTTTATCAATCATCTATCAATTAATAACATTTTTTGAATCTTCATTTCCTGATTAAGATAATATGGAGAATCAAAATTTATTTATTGTAGAACTTATAATTTTGTTATTTATGGGTATAGATTCAAGTATTACAATTATTTTATTATTAACAAAGAAGGAAAATAGATTTAATTTTAATCCAAAGAAATAATTTAAAATGATTGTATACTATTTTTGTTTAGTTGATTTCATAATGCATACATATGATCCAACTTTATTTAGAATTAGTAAAATATGTAGAACCATGTTAATGCCTATGTATTCTAAAGATTTGAGAAGAAATTTAAAAGGAATTATGAAAGCAGGTAAAGATCTATTATTATTAATCATGTTGTATATAATTATAATATCATTATTTTCATTTATTGGAATTAATTTTATAGGAAAAATAGATGATGTTGATTTGAAAACTTAAGATTATGGTGATTTCTTTAAATTTTTTTCTATGTTATTTATGGTAGCAACACTTGATTTCTATCCTGATATTCTAATTCCACCTATGCTTTAAGGAATTTATTATTGTTTATTTTTTATTGTATATCTTTTACTTTTCATTTTCTTATTTGCTCCTATACCATTAGCAGTTGTATATGAAGGATTTAGAAAACATAGAATGGAAATTGCTATAAGTGATATCATTAAATAAAAGACTGCTATGATGGCAAGTTTTATATCTTTAGATTTTCATGATTAAGGATATTTAACTAGGGATTAATTCAGAATATTTATTCATCATTTCTATAAGAATACAATAAATGAATCATAAATAGATTAATTATTCAATTAAATTGATTAAGATTTTAAGTAATGTAATTATAAAAAATATAGTGATAAGGTTCAATTTGATGAATTTCATAAGTTTCTACATTTACTCTAAGATGCTTCAATATTATCTTTACCAGAAATTAAACCTCTTCATTTTTGGGAATCATTCAGAAATTATTTGATATCTAAAGGTTTATTAAAATTTGTGGAAGGAAATGTAAATTTATTATATATATATATTTAGATATTTGGAATATCTATGTTAATAATTACAATTTCTAATTGTATTTTAATAGTAGTGGCATTTTTTATTGAAGATTAAGATATCTTGGATATTTTCAATTTATTAGATACTTTATTTTTAATTATATATTCTATAGAATGTTTAATAAAAATTATAGCTTTAGGTATCAAATCTTATTTTGAAGAAGGATGGTATATTATTATATTAGATATAAATTTAGGAATATTTTTGATATAACTTTGGTTATCTTACAAATAATATTTGATTATATATTATTTAATATAGTTTCAGGAAATATTGTTTAATCTATTAAAGCTAATAGATTATTGAGACTAGCTAAAATATAAAAAGTATTCAGACTATTTAGAGCATTTCGATCTCTAAAGATATTAAATATCTTATTTGAAGGTTTACAATTTTTAGATGTTGTAAGAACTTTATTATACAAAATTATTATTTGTGTACCTTTAATCTTAAGATTAATGTTACCTGTACAAATGATATTTTTCATATATTCTTGTATTGGTATGTATTTATATGGTACAATATAAAGTAATCATAATAATCCATATGCAAATTCTGAATGTAATATTAATAATTTTGAATATAAATGGGGTAATTGTAAATATGCTGATTTTACTACTTTTGCAGGATCATATTTAATGATGCTTTAAATGTTCATAGCAGCTGAATGGAATTAAATAGTATTTGAATTAACTTATGATACTGATGATATGTTATCTGCTATGTTATTTGTTGGTTCTTTTGAATTTTTTTCAATCTTTCTCTTAGCCTTAATTGGAGGATTGGTTTGGGAAGTATTTACAGTTGTGTCTTAATCATTGAAATAAGATGATGATCAACTTAATCCTATATAAAATAATTTAGATTAAAAATAAGAAGTCATTTACAATTAAGCAGCTAAACATGATAAGAAAAAGAAATTAATTTTAAATGATGATAATCCAGATGAAATTAAATTTCATCGTAAATTCAAAATTGATAATATTAGTAAAACACATACTAAGCTTTATAATGTATAATAGGTTTTTGAAGATGATATTATAAATGATGAAAGACCAGAATTGAACATTTCTTAACCTGATTCACGTACATACTTCCTTTCTTAAGGTGTTTCAGGTAGAAGAGTTATGACATTCTAAAATTCAAAAATAAATGTATAAAGAAATGATATTGTTAATCATTTCTCTAAGAATTTTATTTAATTTGAAATATGGTTATCTACAAAATAAGAAGAAGGTTTAGATTTAAATTAAGTGGCAATAGATTATATGATACATTTAAGAAGTGAAATTAAAAAGGATGAAATGCTTTAAAAAAAGAATCTTAATATCTCTAATCATCATCTACTTATTTAAAATGCAGTACTTAGAGATGCATCTGAAGTTTATATTAAATAGAAAGAAGATAAATTCTTTAAAACATCATTTAAGTAAAAATTTGAGAGAATTTAGGAACTTAAATTTTAGAATAAATTTAAAATTGAAAGTAAAATCATTTTTTCTCTAATGGGAATACTTAAATTTCCAAAACCAAATATTAAATACTATTTTTAAATACTTAATTTAATAGAAAACTATTTCACTTATTAATTACTCTCTGATTATTCTTTTTTTAAATTGATTCATCAAATCAATAATAAATGGTATACTATTAGTATAGAAGATGGATAAATATATTTTTTTAAAGTAGGTAATGGTCCATGGGATTACACAGAATAATTATTCTAAGAAAGTAATATGAGAATATGTGAAGATTTGACATCATTATTTGAAACTAATAATCAGGAATGCATAAAAGCTAATGAGTAATTTAGTATTAGTGTTGAATAAATTGCTAAAAACTTTGAAATTAATATATCTTCTATTGAGATGAACAATTCATGTGTAATGTAATAGATTAAGAATGAAAAATTGAATAATAACGATATTTAATCATTTAAATTTAAGAAATGTATTTTTCAAATTTAACTTAATTAGCCAATATATTTTCAGACTAATCCCCTAACAATAAATAATATGTATATTTAGATTCATAAAATCAAATAAATGGTACTCTTAAATTAAGTCAATCTCCTAAAATGAATATGAACAATTTAGATGAGTAAAAGAATGTTAGTCAAACAATCTTATTTGTTATTGCAAGAACATCAGCATAAGAATAAAAAATTAAATATTAAAATATCACTATGCTTACTTAATTCTTATAGGATTTGGGAATTGTCATATAAAATTATGGTTCCAACTTCTTTAATTAAATAAACAATCTTTATGAATTAAGATATTAGCATAAAATTCAGAGTATGCGTAAATTTTGATATTGAATAGATGTTAATTACATCGGCCACTTATTTATAATTTTATGTATTTCCATAATTCTTTCTATTAATTAAATAAATGAATAATTGTTTGTTAACGCCTAAGTCTAAATAACCAAAGTGTCCAAATGCTCCTAAGAAATAATACTATGCAACCAGAATTGATGAATAATCAATAAGATCAGTTTGTAGAGTACTTTTCACCGATGAACCAAAACCCTCAATAACTTCTACGGAAACTGCTTGATTTTTGTATATTACATATAACTATTATATTTACAACTTTCTATATTAAGATCTAACAACATCATACATGATTAATACATAATATACATTCAAAATCTTTAACACAATGTTTAACTTAAATGTAGTTTACTATCCTTAATAAATTAATGAATAAAAATTATTAATAAAATTATAAAAAATTATTGATCTAAGAAACAAAAACAATAAGAAAATCATCATTTAACATATAAAAAAAATAATCAAAAGAATTTATTATAAAGCTGATTTCATATTTAATATGTTAATATAATAATTTATACAATTATAATTAAATTTCATATTATATGTTTCTATTAATTTAGAATAATTATAAAAGATGGTTCATCATAACAATTGGAAAAATTAATTAATTTGATTGATATGATATTCAATTTAAATTGATTATATAAACACAATTTTTATATCAATTCTTTCTATACTTATATATAAATATATTAATCTATAATTAAATTAATATATATCTATTTTATATATATATATATAAGTATAATATCATATATCTCTTAGCATTATATTTGAATAACTATTACTTGAAATATCTGGTTCAGTGCTTAGATTTTCATTTTTTAATTCTATATCAAATTTTTATTTGAATGATAATAGAGACTATTTAACATTTCCTTATTTATGATCTAAAATATATATTTATAAAATACATAATTGTTAATCCTTAATTTACAATTCTTTTGTCAAAGATTCCAATTTAATTTCAGATGCTTCCAATTGTTTTCTCATTTCTTTTATTTCCTCTAAGTAAATTTATGAATTAGTCTCTTATTTATAAATTTCTATTTGTTTTTTATATTGTTCTATTTCTTCATTATATATTTCAATTTCTTTAGTTTTTTTAATACTTTCTTATTCACACTCTTAAATATATTATGCATGAATTGCCTTATATAAATATATTCTTATACTTTTAACTCTACAATTTCATTTAATTAAGACTCAAATCTTTTAAGCCATAACTATTCTTCCATCAATTTTCGTTTTAATTATCTCTCCATTAATTTTAATCTTTATTCACATTCCTTATGATTATTAGTATTATTTTCTTCTTATTTCTAATTGTTTGAATTCCCATCTTAAACTGTCAAAACTTTCCCTTAAATATTATTAAATAATTATTAGTTTAAAGCAGCATTCTAATTCTCTAACTACTAACAATATTTCTTATAATATCCTAGTTCTTCTTAGATTTTAGAAACAGAATCATATTCCATTGATTATAACTGTTAGTTTTTATTTATAAAAATTATATGATAATGTCAAAAATTAAAAGATTTATTATTCATTTCTATTCAAAATCTAATAGACTTGATCCTCAAAATTAAATTTTCATATCTGAAACATTAAACTATATAATTCAATATAATTTCTAGAATATTTATTATCACATCTTAGTAATTGGATTATATTAAATAAGAAAATAATAATCCTCATTTTTTAATCTCTATAAATAGATTATTCAAGATTTAAGTATTTGAATTAGGAATATATTGTTTTAACTCATAAAAATCAGAAACAACTTCATCTATGCCAAGTCAATCTTAAATTCCTATGTAAATTATAATATTAAGAAATATATAGACTATAATTAGTAGTTTAGTATAAAGTCTTATATTTAAATTTATACCTATGATAATGGATATAAGTATTTAAAGATCATAAAAGACTGTTAACTTTTTAAATTATTCTTAAATTACTTAATTGATAATTTTTTATAGTTAATTTTACAATATATTACATAAATCATTATGTTTATCAGTCTAATTCAGATATTTATGTTTAATTAAAATTGATTGATATCAAAATGTATTTTTTAATTTATGGTGCCTGAATTAATGTTGGATTCTTAAGAAATTGATAAGAAATTGAAGATTAATTAGATGTATCAGAAATGGTTATTCGTTTATATTATTATAATTAATATTTGATGAAATGAATAAAAATGTATGTATCTTAGTATTTAGTTAATTTTTGTATTTGCTTTTTGCGATTTGAGCAATATTAAAATTTTTCATTTTATCTACCACAGCATCTAAAATCTTATTGAATCAATGTTTCAGAATACTTTCTCTTCATTATGTAATACTTGAATTTGATTAGATTGAATAATAATGGTTCATGAATGTCTATCATCCTTATTTTTAATTTCTAAGACTTTAACAATGGCAACAATAATAGTCGATAAATAATGTTAAGACAACAATAAAANTATGATTATTAGTATTATTTTCTTCTTATTTCTAATTGTTTGAATTCCCATCTTAAACTGTCAAAACTTTCCCTTAAATATTATTAAATAATTATTAGTTTAAAGCAGCATTCTAATTCTCTAACTACTAACAATATTTCTTATAATATCCTAGTTCTTCTTAGATTTTAGAAACAGAATCATATTCCATTGATTATAACTGTTAGTTTTTATTTATAAAAATTATATGATAATGTCAAAAATTAAAAGATTTATTATTCATTTCTATTCAAAATCTAATAGACTTGATCCTCAAAATTAAATTTTCATATCTGAAACATTAAACTATATAATTCAATATAATTTCTAGAATATTTATTATCACATCTTAGTAATTGGATTATATTAAATAAGAAAATAATAATCCTCATTTTTTAATCTCTATAAATAGATTATTCAAGATTTAAGTATTTGAATTAGGAATATATTGTTTTAACTCATAAAAATCAGAAACAACTTCATCTATGCCAAGTCAATCTTAAATTCCTATGTAAATTATAATATTAAGAAATATATAGACTATAATTAGTAGTTTAGTATAAAGTCTTATATTTAAATTTATACCTATGATAATGGATATAAGTATTTAAAGATCATAAAAGACTGTTAACTTTTTAAATTATTCTTAAATTACTTAATTGATAATTTTTTATAGTTAATTTTACAATATATTACATAAATCATTATGTTTATCAGTCTAATTCAGATATTTATGTTTAATTAAAATTGATTGATATCAAAATGTATTTTTTAATTTATGGTGCCTGAATTATAGTTAAAAAATTATAAATTAGAAACATTCTTAGTATAATGTTGGATTCTTAAGAAATTGATAAGAAATTGAAGATTAATTAGATGTATCAGAAATGGTTATTCGTTTATATTATTATAATTAATATTTGATGAAATGAATAAAAATGTATGTATCTTAGTATTTAGTTAATTTTTGTATTTGCTTTTTGCGATTTGAGCAATATTAAAATTTTTCATTTTATCTACCACAGCATCTAAAATCTTATTGAATCAATGTTTCAGAATACTTTCTCTTCATTATGTAATACTTGAATTTGATTAGATTGAATAATAATGGTTCATGAATGTCTATCATCCTTATTTTTAATTTCTAAGACTTTAACAATGGCAACAATAATAGTCGATAAATAATGTTAAGACAACAATAAAAGTGGAGGAGGGCTTAGAGTATTAGAATAAATAATTTCTAGCGAATAACGAATTGAATCAAAATCAACCATATAGTCTGTTGAATAGAACCAGAACTAGAAAACTCAAATAAAAAAAACAAGAAAGAAGAATTCAAAGAAAATATATAATAAAGGTATAATAGGAACTAAATGTTAGGTCACTGGACTCAAAAGGAACATCGTTTATATTTGTAATTTATAGAAACAAATAAAGAGATTATGATGAAATCAGACATGAAAAAGCAAGAGAAAATCTTTAAATAAATGTCTATTATCATAAAGTCTCGATCTCCTTCACAATGTAGATCACATCATTAAAAATTCAATCCTTTTTGAATATCATCATTGATATATATATTAAATATTAAAAACAGTTGATTTATATTTATTATTCAAATTATTTCTACTTACAAACAATTATAATGTATCATGTTTAAGTTCTATTATAAATGATACTAAATAGATTGATAGAATTACAATATCCTTATTTATACTAAGTAATTTAATTAACAAAATCATATAACTATAATTCATAATTTCATTTTAAATTATTGATATAAAATACAATTCTAATTTTAATTAAGAATCAATAATTTATTGCTCTTAATAAATTTATTATTTTATTAAATATCAAAATATTTTGCAAGATACATAATCAGTATCAAATAATTAGATTTATTCATCATCCTCTCTTTATGGACTTTTGTATTTATGACTTCTATATTAACAATCCTCTTTTATTTATTCATAATCAATCTAATATGTAATTTACTAAGCTAAAAATCATTAATTTAAGTTTACTTTAAATGCCATTATAATTTAATACATTCTCTTTTTATTATGTAAATTCCTCTTCATATTCAATTAAAGGACCTGCAAAGTTATACTTTTCTGTTTTAGATAATTAACCTAGTGCTATTATAAATTGTATAGAATATACATTTCCCCCTTTCATATTCATCCTTAACTTCCTAGACATTATACTTGTTGACTTCATTAGCACTATTAATATTAGAGTATTTTTGGACAATTCTTTATTAATGCTTTGAACTTTGGAAATTATAATTGTTTCTGTTATCATCTATTGATATTTGCATATATTAATTTTCAACGATCCCAGTTTTTTAATTGATGATTTGTTTCTTTGGTTTTGAAGATCTTCTCAATTCATACCTTTGTACTGCATCCTGAAAATCAACATCAGTTGTTCTCTGAACATTTTGACTTGTTGTAATAGTTTTTTGATAAGAAGTTTATATTTCTTGTGAGAAACTATTACTCATTATTTAAACGATAATATATAATTAGCATTTTAATATATAAATATGAAATATATCTATAGATAATATTAAATTTGCTTATTAAGAATTGCCATTTCAATCAAATTCCTTATTTTACTCATTCTTTATTGAATTATTCATTACTCTCCAATTTTATATAAAGTTTCTTAAAACTCATTAATTTAAAGTTTAAGAATCATTAATTACAAAATTTATATAAAATGTTATTGGTTATCATTTAAGATTCAAACTATTAGTAAAAGTTTTCACCAAAATATCTGAATAATATTTAAGAAAATTACTTTATATTTTATTCATTACTATCTAATATTTATAGTAGTTTTGAGTAATTCTAATTTTGTTTATAAATTACACTTATTATTTCTTTTGATATAGACTCTTGTTATAATGAGTAAAATCTTTATTTATCATAATAAATTACTGATGCGATCTTTCAATGATCAAATATCAGTTAAAATTGAATATATGTATTATTTCAAGCAATTCATATTTTGCATATAATTATTGAATTAATTTGTATATATATTCAATTAAAAAATCTATTGATTAAGTAATCATAAAATTTATATAAGAGTTGTTTTAATGATAAACTAAATATATTGATTTTTAGATTTATCTATTATTAATTTATATAATGGAGAGTGAAATCACAAAGATGGAATATAATTAGCTTCAAAAAGAGGCTAATTAATGAATGGAAAACATATTATTTTTGGCAATTGATAAAAAATAATAATCAAACTTAAAATCAGAAGAGTATTAAAAATGTTAAAGATAAATAACAGAATTCAGAAAATAATTTATTGATCATATGGCAAAGACATTGAATTTAAATTAGAAATCTATTTAAAACATAAATTCTTAAATGTACACCAAATAAACCGAATAAATAATGAAAAAGTATAATCATATAATTTATTGATTGACATAATGATTTAATCTATTTTTGACTTTGGTTAAACAACATCTACGTTTTGGCAATAATGTGACAAAGGCTTACTTGATGTACATCTATATCTCTCATAATAAGTAATAAAATGAGTTGCTGGAACATGAATTCTTTGTTGGTTCAAAGGAGAAGTTGATTAAAAAAAAGTTTCTTGTGATGAGTCAAGACTCAATTTTTAGAGTTTCTTTAGCAAATCTTAAGCGAGCACCATTACTAACAATGCATGTTTAATTTATTGAAGCTTCTTCTGATAACTTCGTTTAACATAACTCTAATGAATAATTTTTTGGGTTTCATCTTTCTTATAAAGGAAAGAGTTTAGAAATATTTACTTCAGATAAAGAGAATTATGATATTTGGAAGTCTCATTTTAGGAGATATGCTATATTAAATAACTTTCATGAAGCTTTCTTAGTATTGAAGATTATTGGAAAGGGCAATTTTGCAAAAGTATATTAGGCAACCAAAAAGGAAAACAACACTTAATATGCTATAAAAGCATTTAGCAAAGAATATATGTTACAATAATCTAAAGGAATAGAAAGTATGCTAAATGAAATAAAATTAATGAGAAGACTAAACCATCCTAATATAGTAAAATTATATGAAGTACATGAAACAACAAATTCAGTTTATTTTGTATTAGATATGATTTAAGGTGGTTAATTATTATAAAGAGTAAGAGAAACAGGTAAATTATTATTATTTATTGTATCAAGGCTTTTTATCAGCAGAAACAATGCAAAAATTTGCTTTTAATTTAATAAGTGCTTTAAATCATATGCATGAAAATCGTATAATACATAGAGATTTAAAACCAGAAAATCTATTATTGAAATCTACAGAAAATAATAATGAAATAATTTTAGCAGATTTTGGATTGGCAACAAATTTGGATGATGAACCTTTATTTAAAAGATGTGGTACACCTGGATTTGTTGCTCCAGAAATCATAGATTATATTGATGGATAAGAATTTTATACAGATAAATGTGATGTATTTAGTGCTGGTATCATTTTATATTTACTAATTGTATATAATATAATTTATATATTTAGACTGGTAATATTCCATTTGTTGGAACTGATCAAAAGTCTATTCTCAAAAATAACAAATTATGTGAAATAGATTTTAAGGAACGCCATTTCATATTGGCACCAATTTAAATGTAAGACCTAATTCAATCTATGCTTTAAAAGAAAGTTTCTTATAGATTAAGTTCTTAAGAAGTACTTATATTTATTAATTATATTTATAGTGCATGAGACATCCTTATTTCAAATAATTAGTGAAAGAATATAAAGTATAAACTGAAAATTATTAAAACAATTTATTGGGATATTAAGAATTTAAAAATGCCATTAAAATAGGAACTTAAGAACTAGAATAAAGATCACCTTTAAACTTCAATTCTTCAGATTCTATATCTTCAAACATTTCTTAAAATAGACAAGATTAAAGGAAATCTTCAATTGTTGTAGGAACTTCTAAGTTTATTTAATATAGTGTTAAATTGTCTAAACAGAATTCTAAAGAAATTACTGGTAAATATTATATTTTGAATTAAGATATTCCATCCAAATAAGAACCAAAAAAAACAAAAGATCTACATAGATTAGCTTTGACAAATAATTATTTAAAATAGATATCCAATAATTAATTTGATAATGTTGAAGACCCAACTGCTGAAGATTGCAATGTTGGATTTATGGTGAGATAATACAATTCAACTAGATAAATAAGAATACCAGATAATACTTTAAAAATTAAAGAATGTAATACTCCTACAATATTAAAATTACAATGAGACAATATTTTCTATTTTTTATTCTAATCTATATATTCTGTTTATTTATTAATACTCTCTTTAGATATGAAATTCATACATTAATTAAAAATAATAAATAATACTTTAATAAATTTATTTTAATATTTAGTAGAATTTAATTTATAATTATTATTTTTAATAATTATTGTTTTCTTTTATAAAGTGTGATTTATATATTATATAATATATTAGTATCATACTTAACACATCAAACAAACCTATCGTATTTATGATTTATTTTATGCTTTTATGTAAAAGAATTGACATTTATTACATTTAATAAATAATGCTTATTGTTTCTAATAAATTAAATTTATTTAATTTTAATATAATCTCTCTATCTAAACTTTGTTCAATACATTCACCTCATTCATTTTAATTTTTTTATTACATAGACAATTTAATGTTGGTTAATTTGATTCTATTTATATTTTTAACATTGAACTCAGACAATCTTCATGATAATTATGGAAACATTTTAACATTATTTATTTATTTTAAATTATCTAATTACATTATTAACATTTATATTGAATTACATTCATTAAACTTTAACCATTTTTTAGAATCGAAGAATGAAATTGACTATTTAGAGATTCTTTTTTTATATCTTTGTTAGGATATATATTATGAGATTAAAAAAGTTAATGTTTAAAATCATTTTATTGAATCTATACTTTTTAATTAATTGGATATGTCTCTTATCTTATTTCTTATTGTTATTATTACATGATATAGAATTATAGGGATTATATAAAGAATAAAGAATGTTACTTATTTCCATATATAAAAGGTTAATCCCAATCATCAGGATTTATAATATTAGTATCTTAATCTAAAATAACAAACATTTATTTTATTTCATCAGAAAATTTTTTTAATAGAAAATGATAGAATTCTTTAAAAGTGAGTTAATCTGAAAATATTTCTTCTATAGTTATCTAATTTGGAAAAATCAGAGTAACTCCATATTTCATTTATGAATCCATATTATAATTAGTCAATTAGTAATATTATGATTAATTATCAATAATCAATTAATGGTTTTATTTAAAAATAATTTATCTATCAGAATTACACTGTATTATATTATTTAGATGATCCAATACTTCTTAAAACATCTCTATTTAATATTATGAATTTTATTTCAATATTTATTATTCACATTTTTCTTTAATTACTCTTAAGTTTGTCTCTATCTAATTGAATATATTGTTAGGATTAAAATATTTCTCCTTAAAGTATGCACTCTTATTTAAAGACTCAATTCCTTTCATATAAATATTTATATATAAATAAATAAATATTAAGATTTTATTAATTCAGACATTTCTTTAGAAATAACATTCCATTTTGAATACTCAAATTATTTTAAACATGAATTCAAGTTATCTTTGATATTAAAAAGCATTCAAAAGATTTAAACATAAAATAAAAAGAAAGTCCAATTATAGATCAACCATAACTCATCTAAAGCATTTACATTTCTCCATGATAAAAAAGACTATGATCTAATATAATCATCTATATTAAATCTCAATTACACATCTAAGAGGTCTAAGTGTAAAACTTTACCTATATAAGTATATATTTAAGAACTACACCTTTTATTAAAGTTTATATCATAATAGAGTCTGAATATACTCCTCATAGTAATCTAATATTATATACTTTAAATAATATAATCAATCTAAGAATAGCCTGAAAATTCAATTATTTATTCAATAATAATGTTTTATAAATTATCATTAAATTTACAATTATATTTATTAATTTTAATATCTAATCCTCTAGAACCTTATTAAAAAGAAGATAATTAAGCTATATTTTTAACAGAATTTTAATTTTTTATGTAAAATATTTACAAAAATGTGAAAAAACTGAATACTTATTAAAAACATATCTTCTATATATAAAATTGATAGTAACTTGTTTATATTAACAAGGAGAATTAGAATGTTGAAAAAAGAAATTATTAGATATATCTAAGAGAAAACAACTATTTGAAATTATTAAAATAATGTGAATATAATAAATTTAAATAATAATAGTCACTTGTCGATTTTTGTTGGTGAAGATTGTTCAGTTATTAATTCTTTAGTTCTTCTTCTCTTCAAAATGGTACTTTAATCTTAAAATAATTTCATTTAATACCAATTGATTTTAGAGATAATTTTCTGTGATAATAATATATTTGATACGATATTATTTTTTTGCCCATTGTTATTGGCCCAGTTTATAAATTTTAGGTAGCAATCTAATTCAGTTGCTCCTTCTTTTAAATTTTCTATTGGGCGCATCCCATATTTATATCTGAAATTAATTTAATTAAATTAATATGAATAAATAAAAATGAGAATAGTTAAAAAAGATACTAACTTATACAAATATTAACAGGAAGATTGAATACCATTAATATGACTATATTATAATCAGAATTATAATATTTATATGTATTGTCTATAAATTAGAAATATCACACTTCATATTGTTTAAGATGTGTTCTTATAGATAACAAAACTATCACCATTCCAAATAACAAGTAATTAGCCATTATTTGAGAAAAATAATTTTAATCCTATTTATTAAATTGATTAAAGCAAGGTTACTTAATTTTATTCATTGATCTTAAGTATCTATGTTATTTAATTATTATTAATATTTTATGAAAAAGCTAAAAGATTAAATCTATTATTATTATTTGAACAAAATCCAATTCCACATTTTTCAATAGAATTCAATTTTTTAATTGAATAATTTTCTATCTTTTAAAATCTATTGTTGTCCAATTAAAATAAGTTGATTTAATTTTATAAATTTATATGCAAAAATCTTGTTGTTGTAATTGGTTAAATTTCTTATGTCTATATTACTTCACCCAAATTTATTATTTCAAAATTTTCACCTGTTTATTTAATCTAAAATAATTCAATTTTCTCTTTATTATTTATCATAAATTAAGCTATAATAATTTGATTACAATTAGAAAAAGCTAAGTTTTTAACTTATTATAAATATTAAGTAATTTATAGCAATTCATTATTTTTAATAGTATAAATATTTAATTCTTCACTTCCAACTGCTAAAATATTAGACTTTTAATTTATTTCAATATAATTAATTTATCCTTTAATATCTTTTCTAATTTTTAATTCTTATTCTTTATATTGTCCATCAGACTATGGAATCCAATATATAATTTTGGAATCTAAACTTCCTGTAAATAGAGAATCATCCTTCTTACTAAAACATAAAGCAGTAACATCAGGATATTATTGTAATTATTAAACCTATTTAATTTTATTATTATCAATCTTCCAAATTTCAGCACAGTAGGCTTTATTATTATCTAAATTATTAGTTCCAAATGCAAACAAATTATTAGATCGATTAAATCTTAAATTGTAAATCTTTTTAAATTTCAAATTATCTACCTTTCCTATCTATTTATAATTTGTATTTATAATTTAGTTTTATTATTGAATAAAATTATCATTAGTTCTATTTATTTATTAAACTTATAATTCAAAACTATTTAACATTTATGACATCTAAGATAATTTTTTTTTTAAGAAATCATCAATAATTATTGTTCCATTTTCATAAATAATATTAAGTTTATCTGGATTTATATTTATCTATTGATTATTTTATTATTGATTATCTTCAATTATAGTTATTTTTTCTCTAAATTCTTTAATCATCTTTTTTACTAAATCCAAAGATGTCTATTCTTTTAATCTTAAACATTCTTCTAATTTAGAATTATTTTAAAATAAACACATTGATTTAATTGTTTCACCTATTTTCTTTATATTAACTTCAGCTCTATCAATTTCTTGTTTTGCATTTTCAACAATTTATTACAATCTTCTCTCCATTTCACTTACTTAAGCTTTTATTTCCTACTCTTCCTTTCTTTGTGTTATCAATTATAAGAAAAAATCTTGAAAATTGATTTAACAATAATTGATATTTCTATCTTTTTATTTTCCAATACAACCTTTACAATCAGTAATAGCATCATCATTAAGGGTTTTTTACAAATTACAAGAAAATATCTCCTTATTTTTTGGATTTTACTTTTCACAAATAGCTTTTTAACATATAAGCTTAGGTACTCCACTATTACTGAGTATTTGAGAACTCATTTTTTAATAATTAATAAAAAATATTATCTTATTAATTATTCAAAGAGATTTTATACTATTGATTTATATATATTATTTATCTATCCTCTTCAATCTATAATGATTATTGATAACTCATCTAATAGAAAAATTTATATAGTAAATAATATAAATTTCTCATGTAATATATTGATCAGTATCTTAAATTATAACAGTTTAAGACTTATCTGATAATTATTCAAATAAGTCTTCTTCACTTTCTTCAATTATTCTTGAAGACTCTTTCTATATCAATTATGGAAAAGGGTCAATAATAGAATCACTTTTAAATTCAAGTACTTAACCAGATTTTTCAAATAACTATAATTTTAATAGGCTATTATACATTTAAGATATAGAACAATAAAACAGGTTCACTCCAATTTATTTTTAATTATTTTAGCATCTATAAAATATCTTCTTTATTCCAAATTTAGAATTATTTTGTTTATAAATACTAAGCTATTTCTGGCTATTTTAGAGTTTATTTTATAATTGTCTCTGCTTCCTAAATTTTAAAATCAGGATAATCAAAAAATGTTTTATATTTTCCTATTTAATTCAATAAAGTATCTGCTAATTTATTACCAGATAAAGATAATGATTTAATCACTTCTTATATTCTGTCTTAGCCTAAACTAAATGGTTCTTAACTTAATATATATTCAATATCTTCCTTTTCAATTTGTTTTTTTAAATCAATTGCCTATTACTTTAATTCTTGGATCATTTAATTAAATTATTCATATGTGATACCTCTAATTATTAATTTATATTAAAGTTCATCTTGTGTTTTAGATTTAAGTTAAGTACAAGATATTTCAGTAGTAGCTTAAAGTTTATTACTCCTAAAGGAATTAGTAGAACTCTTTTTATTTTATTCTGTTGTAATTCTTTTAATTTTATCTTCTAGATTTAGTTTAATTTGATTTAATTTTGAAACTTCATTCTAATAAAACTTAAAAGAAATACTTATAATTAACTGATTTTCTAATAATCATTTGATTATTATTATTTCAATTCATTAATTTCATTTTGTTATTTAATAAAACCTTATTATGTTTTTAAGAAATTATCTTTGATTATAGTTTATGAATTTAGAAATCTATAAAATATAATTAATAATATACTCTTTATAATTGTTTTCTTAATCCAATAATATTTTTTTTAATTTGTTAATTTCTTCTTTATATAATTAATTTTGTATCTAGATTTCTTATACTTTTGTAACTTTAATATTCTTTTTCATTTATTCAATGATGCACAATTTCTCTTATAACTGCAACTATAAATCTTTATTTTATTTTTTAATTTATTAAATGATGTATTCATGATTTTTAGATAAAGGATTCTATTTAAATTATTGATCTTCAATATATTTATTAAAATTCTAGAGTTCTTTCTAACAAATTAATATTTACAATACATCTTATTATAAAATTCTAGTTTTTAACTTAATATTTTCTGTTCTTAGAAGATTAATTTCTTCTTTAAGAGTCTTTAATTGAAAATATAGAGTTTCTTTATCGTGATAATCATTTTCAGGCCAAAATTTGGAAACATTCATATAACTAAATTAGAATATTTGAATTACTTTCTTTAAGTTTATAATTTTGTGTTTTTAAGTATAGGTTCATGTGCTGAAATAGATCTCTTTCATAGTATATATAATATAATTACTACTTCTTTTGACATCGATATATAATTTTAATTATAAAAATATTTATATAATTGATCATAGATTTGCTGCAATACTTAATTTGTTGCATGTATCTTCTAATAAACTTAAAAGATGTTCTTCTGATTATTCTCTAATCAAAATTATAAATACATAGATTACCTTGTTTTCTTTTCTTAATCTAATTCTACTTTTACTCTATTAACGATATCTTTTAACATTTCAAAGATTGATTATTCACTTTCATCTCTATTTCTCTTTTCTACATTAATTAAATTACTTAATTTAACAAGTTCATCAGTGATTGATTTCATAACCTAATAATAGATTCTTAAATAAATACATTTTAATCTGATTCATCTCTTTCAGTAGCTTCATTTCTGATAGCATCTTATATTTTAGGTAAATCATTTTATAATCCTTAATGTATTCCTTCAATAGAATCAATTCTATTTGCTGTTTCTTTCTAAACTTCTGTTCTTAATAATGCTGTTTTATCTTCTAACAAACGTAATACTTTAGATTCTCCTTCTTTTCTAGCTTAATTTTCATTTTCAATTGCATTTTAGAATTTCTTTTCTAATGCTTAAACCTCTCTATTTTTAGTTTCATTAGCTTATTCTTTAGCTAATTTATCTTCTTCAACTTATTTTTGTAATTTTCCTAACTGATACTTATGATTATATTATACTTAATCTCTAAGTCCATTAAGTTTAGTAAAGATTTATTCTTAAAATTCATTAAATGCATCTTCAGCTTATTAAATTCTTTGTTCAGCTTATTCAAGTTTTTAGAATCTCTCATTTTCTACTCCAATTTAAATAGTTGATAATTTTTCTGATATCTTTTATATTCTTCCACTACTTGGAGATACTTATTAATCTAGTATAGATAGTAGTTAATTTTACATAAAGATCTGGAATTATACATTGTTAATAAATTTTATTTATGATTAAACTCAATATATATATAGAAATAAATATGTCAATCTAATAAAAATTTTTAGTTTCTTTTAATACTACTTTAACCAATATCAAATTAAGAAATATCTGCAAAATCAGAATATGTACTATCTAGTAATTAATCTTCATTCTTTTAATTTGTAATTATACTATTTCTACTTGAAATTTAATTAATATTTTTGTAGATATGTTCAATATCAATTCCTCTTGATTTTACTGCTTTTACTAATTAAATTAATTTTTTCTCTTTCTCTGAAAGTGTCTCAATTTTTTATTACATTTATTATATTTGATTTTTTAATTGTAATTTTTCATAATTATTCATTTATTATTTTTATGGTTAAATTTGTTGATATTATTCTTTTGATTATTTTATTTGTTCTAATTATATTTAATAATTTTTTATCCTTTCTTATGCTTCTATATTTTATATTTATAATTCTAAATATAATCGATTATTATAATACCTTATTAATATTAATTTTCTTTTGCTTTTAATTCTAATTCATGAATTTTTTAAATCAACATTGCCTTATCCTTATTATAATGAATCTATTTAGTATTTTAATGATTATTAACAATATCTCTAATCATTTAAATTAATTATATTATCTAATTTGATACTTCCTATTAATTTATGCATGTCCCTAATCCAACTATCAATTTTGAGAGTTATTAATTTAATTACTTAAAGCTCTTACTCTTTTCAAGATTGTCTATGACATTCCTAATTTATCTTATAAACTCTTTTTTTGAAGCTTCTTCCTTTAAATGAGCTTATTCATATAAATAACTTTAAACGGACATCATTTCTCCGCTAAACTTCAAAGTTGATTAAGTATTTAATCTACTCTTATATAACTCATACGCATACTTTATTAGGTTTCTTATCAGGTGTACTAAAGCTATTATTTAAATGTCTGTAATTATTATGTTTAGGAACAGATAATGATTTCATTTTACTTAACAATTTTTTATTTTTTATAATATTTTTTTATTATTATTTGCTTTATATTATTATTATTCTTTATTTAATATTAGAGAAAAAGAAATATATTACAAAAGTATTTAATGAACATAAAAAAACCAGAGAAATAATATTATTTAAGTCCTTTTCCAAAAGATGTAATTGGATTAATTGCATCTAGTTGTGTTCAAAAATTTTAAGGTGCATATACTTTAGAATTATAATAAAAATAATAGAGATCTTTATAAGAGGAATTAATTTATAGGTATTTTAAAGGGAGAGCCCCTCCATATGAATTAAGTTAGGCTGATAAAGATGAATTATAAAATTTTGAAGGAAATGAATATCATTTATGTGAATATAGAGGATAGTAGTTCTTAAAGAAATATTTTCATACAGAAGTGATAAAATTTAATGAATGCATAGAAATTTGTGATATTGAGAATGCTTCAAATTATAAGGGATTATTAATTCTAAAAAGATCTATGTGTAGAAGGAAATGTGAAGATAAAATGGATATTACATTAAAGGAATACATGAGAGATGGTAAATTCCCAAAAATGGAAGAAATATTGAAAATGTGAGGTATATAAATATATAATATGAAGTGAAATCAAAATTAACATATTTTAATTTGTGAGTAATGAAGTTGATAAATTTTCGTGTATTTTTTTAAATAATTTAAATAATAATTAAAGAATGGCATCTTAAATCTATGAACAATTAGTAGCAGCATATACAAATACAGATAATTAAGTAAGAAATCAAGCAGAGAAATCTTTAGTAAATTCTATGTAGGAAAACTATTAGAATTTTTAGTTTATAGCTTAATTAGCAGAAAAATAAGATTAAAGTACTTATTTATTATTTAATTATAGTGTAGGAATAAGCTGCCAATTTATTGAATTCAGTTGTAATGAAAATATTAAATACAAATCCAAGTATTAAAAAATAATTGATTTTAATTAGATTAATTAACAATATAACATGCTGAATCACTTATATCTGTATTAACATCATAAAACACTCCATTAAAATATAAATAATCTCTTATTTAATCATTAAGTTAAATTTCTAGAAAAAATAAAAGTATTATTCCAAAAATAATTTAGATGTAAAAATTGAAATTGAAAGAAAGATGAAAGAATATTTATAAGGAGAATAATAATGGTAAATATAAACTGGAATATTATTCTTTAAAATTTTAGCAGATTCTGTTGAACTTTAAAATTTTTCAAATTATGGTAATGTTATTACAACTAGTTATGAATGGATAACAGAATATTTTAATTAATTTGTTTAAATTATGGCAGTTTTATAAGATTAACCAAAAGATTTATCAGATGAATTTAAAAATACTATGAAATATTTTGCATAATCAATCTAAGATTTATGTGACAAAATATAATAATAATCTAATATTTCAAGAGAATAAATATTACCAATTTTAAATATTCTATTCTCATTAAATTCATTTTCTGGATCATTAATTTTATTATTATAATATTCACCATAAATTGGAAAATAAATGTAAAATTCTATTATAATGAATACTGGTATATAGATATTTGATGATAAAATGAATGAAATTAAAAGTTATATACTAAAATCTTATATGATAATATTTTAAATATTACTTAATACACGTAATAAATCAGAAGTTAAAAAAGGACCATTTGGTCCGTATCTTAATCCAATCACTCAACTTTTACTATATTCCATACTTACTTATACAAATAGTGAAACAACAAATGTGATTTTAAAGTAATTCTAAAACAATATAATTATAGTAAACCATTTCTAAGAAATATAATAACATACATCCTTAAATTGTTAGCAAATCTTGGATCATAAACAGAATAATATCAAATATTCTCAGATTCTAAAGTCCCTTTAATAACAGATGTTATTTATCCATATTTAATAACATCTTAATAAGAATATTAAAAAATGAATGAAGAACCAGAAGAATTTGTAAATTTGGCACTTGATACTGTTGATAAATAAGAATCTGATATTCCTAAAACAGCAGCAGCATAATTATTAGAAACTTTATGTGATCATATTGATGGATCTACAACATTCTTAGCTAATTTAGCTGTTATTATAACATAAAATGCAATTAATAATTTATCATCTAAACCTGTTTCACTTAATGAATAATAATAAACATTCATTTAAGCAATATCAGATAAGTAAAATTATTGAAATAATGTATTTAGAAAATTATTTACTGAATATAATGCTGTTGATAGAATTGAAAGTAGTTTAATTGTATTAACAATAATGAGTTATTTAATTTAAAAGAGATTTGATATAGTTAGTATGATGGAATAATTATTAACTGAAAATTTAATATTTTTCTAAAATATTCAACATCAAATAATAAAAGTTAGATTTTCATTATTTTTTGGTTACTATTGTGATAATCTATTCAAAAAAGATATATAATCATAAAGTATGTTAATGTATTTATCAATTTTAATTAATTTTGTTTAACCAAAAGAACCAGTTGTATTATATTAATCAATAGATGCATTAAAAGATGTATTTGAAGATGATGAATTAAAAACAAAAACAAAAGGATTAGTTACTGTTGTATTTCCTTCATTATGTAATGGTTTAACATTTAGTATTTATGAAAGACATTTTGAAATGATAATAAATCTTTTAAAAAGATATCCATAAGTATTTTAATAAAATGAAAATTTATTAATTGGATTAATGTAAATTTTAGTTTAAAGAATAATTTAAGAATAAGAATTAATTAATAATGGAGATTCTTAAAGACATATATATTTAAATAGATGTTGGAATATTATTAGATCATTAGCAGATTAAAATGAATATACAAATTTATTAGTAACATTAGAATAAAGCATTACTTAATTATATTAAATGTTAGCAATTTGTTAAAAAATAGATTTTGATGAAGATTTGATTTTATTCATCTCTTTATGTATATAAAAATTATCATCTGTAACAGCTTTATAAATGTAAGTATTACCTCATTTTATGAATGTTATTTAAAAATAAAATTGTAGATTAGGAAATTTATATGAAACACTTAATTATTATATTCATTATGGTAGAAATCATTTTATTGATGAATAATATTAATAAATATTTTTCAATTTAGCATTTTAACATTTACAATCTGATCAATCTTTTGAAGATATAGAATAAGCTGAAGGAGCATTACTTATTTAATTAGGAATCTAAGAACTTAATTAAGATTTAAAGAAAAATATTTTAGAATAAATTTTAAATTAAACTGTTACTATGATATCTAAAAAAGAACTTACAGGTCTATTAAGATCAAGAATAACTGGAATTATATTAAGTGCACTTTATTCTGTTCCTGAATTAACTTGTGAAATATTATCAGGAATGTTTTTAGCTGTCTATAATTAAGTACTTGATACTTAATATTCACCTGGTTATGATATTAAATTGTTTGTAATTACAATGTCATCTTTAATTAATAAATAACATAATTTATTAACACCTAAATTAATTACAACTATTGTTAATAATTTATTTTAATAAGAAAAATTTGAAAAAGAGACTGAATTAAAAAAATTGAATAGGTTATTTTATATATTTTAATATTAGTTCTTTTGATGGAGAAGATTTTGATGAAGAAGATGATGATGATGAAGACTTTAATGATTAAGATGATATTAGTGAAGCTTAATAATAAATAGAATAATTCTTAAGTCCTATTGTCAAAGTTGATGAATATTCAGTATTTAAAAATACTCTATTTACAATTAAATAATAGTAATATATTTTTAAGTATTAGATATGTTACTGGTATTGAACAACTTAAAAAAGAATTAGATAATTAAATTGTTGCTAAACTTAATGAGTTAATGTCTTTTGTTAGAATAAGTACAAATGATGGTATTCAACCTACAAGAAAAGTAAATCTTATTTTTTATCATTTAGCTTATTAAAGCATAAAGAAGAAAGAAGAATAATTGATTATCTATATATATATATATATATTAATTAATATATATCTTTCTAATTTATAATATGATTAAATCTCAATAATAGATATTTTTATCAGAATAAAATTCCAATTTCTAATTTGCAAAAAGTGCTATTACTTTCCCATCATTTGATGAATATACTAAATCACTTTTTACTTAAATCTATTATATTTTTTTAATTCCCTCTTTCTATTCTATTTAATAAATTGTTGTTTCCTTTGATCTACCTGATGAAACTGCTAAAACTTTCCCTTTTTTACTATATCCTACTTAAAATGATGTAAGTATTGACACACATTTTTCATCATAACTATCATTAGGTTAATATATATATGAATTCATATTATTATCTTTTAAAATTGCAATCAAATTTAAATCTTATGTAAAAGTAATAAAATTAACCTCTTATGATTGATCTAATATTGTATTTTTTAATTTCCATTAACTATTTTAATATTAATATACATATATTTAACAATCTGAGCTACCTGCTGCTAAATAAGAATCATCATTATTAAAACTCACACATAAAAATTACTTTTTACTTTAATTTAAAACTTAAGTCTTTTCCCATTTATAAAATTCTCTTTTCCATAAATGTATTTAATTAGAAACAGCAGCTAATACATTACCTTTATTATTCAATTATAAACCTATAATACCACTAGATTAACCATCTAATACTTAACATTTCTTCCATTCTTATGGTTCCAATTTCCAATATATTATAGTATTATCTTGACTTCCTGTAAAGAAAGAATCATCGCAAGTTGAAAAACAAATAGATTTTACATCACCAGAATGACAATTTTCTAAATCTTATATTTTTGAGATTTAATTATTCTCATATTTCCAAATCTAAACATAACAATTATTATTCTTTAATTTTGAACTACCTACAACAAATAGATTATTTTCTTTATTAAATTTTATATCATAAATTTTTGATTATTCTAATTAAGCCTCAGCTATTTTCATAAATCGATCTCCTTCTACTATTTATTGTTCTTTAATTTATTACAAATTATCAAATTTTGGATAAATTATTTATGTATTTTTTATATCTTATTATACTTAATCAATGTTGACTAATTTTAATTAATCTTATAATATATTTATTTTTCCTCTTAATTACTCAAGTTTACTAAAATATTAAATAGAATTATTTTCTTATAATACTAATTCTTCACTATTTTATTTTATTAAATAACTGACTTATTCTGCCATCTTAATCAATTCTTTTTTATCACATTATTATTTTTTTTGTAAACAAACTTCTATAGAATCATTAGGTTTTATGGCTTAATTTTGCATGACTAATTGATATAATTATTAATGTTCTAATTCTAATTAATTATAATATGCTTATATTTAATTTAATTGATTCTTAACAAAAGCAAACAATTCCTTATCTTATTTCAATATTCCAATTTATTCATTTTATGATTATTAAACAGAAACTGCAAATTCAAATATACCTTCAATACTATGCAAATTTTATTGTAGTTACAAATTACATCGATGACAATATAATCTTTTCTCTTCAGGAAGCCCAGTTGTTAAATTTATTAGACTAATTGAGCATTTCTAATGATTTTAGCAATTTAATCTAGGAGCAATGAAACTCATTGTTTAAGATATTTTTATTTTTAAATTAATATACTAAATCAAGATTAATGAATAATTTATATATAAAAAATCACTCATTAACAAACAAAAATTTAATGCTATTTCAAATTCTCTATGATTTCAGAAGCATACTAAAATACACATTATATTGTTCAAATTATCTAAATCCAAAATATTTCATTAACTTACTTATTATAATAGAATAAATTTAAGTTAAGCATCATTTTATTTATTTATTGTGATTTCCTAAAAATATCTATATTTTTCATATTTATTGTAATCAATTTGTAAATGAGGCTTTAATCTAAAATCTTAGAGAAATAAGTTATTCAAACAAAAATATTAGAAAAATTTTGCTTTTTAAAGAAATCAAAACTTATAGAATATAAATAAATTAATTAAAAATCAAGTATTATAGCATCAAGAAATTATGTTTAATTTGATTATTACATAATAAATAGTATGAACTTGATTTTTAGTCATCTTTAATTAGATTTTAATGTATCTCTAAATTTGCTTTATTTATTCCTAAAACTATAAATTAAGTCCAAAAAACTTCTAATAATCTAAATACAATCTGATCAATTATCATTTAATAATAATATTATCAGAATTAAATTATATAGCCATTAGTAATTTATAAATATACATAATTATGATATAAATATTTCCACTTAAACTGTCATATTTTCTTTGATAAATTTTATAATCTAGATTGCATTCATCCCTAAACAAGAGATCATAACTATTTTATTTAAGTAATGATTTTAGTGAGTGAAATAAAAGTGCTGCTTTTTTAACAAGTATTTGTACTAAATGGTTATGATATTTGTCTTATAGATTAAAGAATTTTTATACTCTTAAATTAATAATTAAAATTATATAATAAATTAGTTTATACTTTATTTTATAAATTAAATACTTAGGGCTATTAGGATCTCTCTTTTATTCTAAGACACAAATTACCCATTAAAATAAATTATAAATATATATTATCAACAAACTATGGTTTTAGGCTTAATATTTAAGATAATCTAATATGGTTTTATTAATTAACAAAATTAACTTTGTACTATTTATTATATATTTATAGCTTGTACAAATTTTTAGTGAAAAATACTCATTTTATTTTACTATTATAATTTCTTAATATTTAAATAATTTTATTAATAATTGAATTTGAATTTGAAAATGAACTCAAAATAGTTAAAATTTTAAATAGAAGTTGAAAATCCAAACAAGGAGAATGAATGTTATTAGGAGGGACATAGATTTAATAAATAAAGAATTAGTCGTATTCCTCTAACAGATATTACTGATATATTATATCCTAAAAGAAGAGAAATGGAATCATCACCTCTTAAATGGAATCAATTAAAGTTCTCCTCCACTATTTAATTGAGATGATAACATTTAAATAATACCTTTAAATCATTATAGATATCTTTTTTTAACAAAATATAATTGTTTATATGATGATGAAGATTCAATCATTATAATCGACATCTGGCAATAATTCTCTGATGATCATATCACTAACTTTAAAATCCATTTCTTTAGCATTAGACAAATCAGTTTCTTCATAATTAGTAAATTTTTCTTTAAATAACTTTTTCATTTTGTCTAATATATTTGTTTTATTGACATTTATCAATCGATAATGAATTTCTCTAATGTTGATTACATGAGCAACTTTATCAAGATTTACACCAGATCTATATATATATATGTTAAATAATACGGAACACCATTAGGCCATTGTGAATATTAATCAGTAAATTCTTTACCATGAGGAGGAGCATCAGCAACATGAAAAATGTATCTTAATGAAGGTGTTCTAGTGGGATCTCTCCATTCAATCTTTTTTGCTGCATCATACAATCCATCTAAGACAGCTTCTGGTGTATCTCCTCCTCCATTGGCATCTTGTTAATCTATAAATTTAATAATTTCATCTTCTCCACATAAATCTTATATCTTAGTTATATATGAAACATCTTAAGGGGGATGATCTCTATAACATACAAATCCAAATTTAACACTAATGTCTTCATTTTAAGCTTTATTTTTAATGTTTTTAATAATTTCTTTTACAGTATTCTATATTATTTTATAAAGAATTACTTTTGTTTAAGTTAAATATTAAGACATAGAGGATGTAGTATCTACACAAAATACGACATCAACTATCCCAGCTGCAGCTTTGCTTTCAGTTCTTCTAGGTAATTTTACAGAATCTGTTTATTTTTATTCTTATTATTCCTTTTATTATTCTTTTTATCCACTTTTTTCTTTTTTTTCACTTTTCTTATCTGTTTTTTAAACAGGCTTTTTATCAATTTTATCATTTCCTAATTTATCTGATTTTTCAATATCTTTTTTCTCAGATTTATCTAAAACTTTTTTTTCACTTTTATCTTTAATTTTTTTTTCAGATTTTTCTTCTACTTTTTTTTCACTTTTACTAACTTCTTTTTCATTTTTCTTTTCCACAACTTATGGTTTTTTGTCATCTTTAGTAGTATTAGCTTTAACTGGAGTTTTTTTAGGTGTACTTTTTTTAACAGGACTTTTTTTTGGAGTACTTTTTTTTTTACTTATAATTTTTTTTTAAACAGGTTTCACTTTTTAATTTGTTTCTTTATTATTTTTAACAACTTAGACTTCATGTTTTTATTTTTATTTTGTATCATCTTTAATTGTTTATTTTTCTTCTTTTTCATTTAAATTCTTTTTAGGTTCTTTCTTATCTTTTTCATTAATTAATTTCTTTTATTTCACTTCTTATGTCTACTTAGCAATCTTTTTTTATTATACACCTAAGTATTATAATAGTTATTTACCATTACTTTTACTTCTAGTCTAACCTAATTTCTCATGTACAATATTCTCATTATCTTTTATTAAAGCCTATATAGTTCTCGTTCTTCGAATTGGAGCTTTTTTAGTATCTTATTTCTTAGGAGCAGCTTTCTTGACCATTATGAATTTTAATCAATTTTATAATTATTAATAATTTCTCAATCTTCCAGAAAAGTATTATAAAATCTAATTAAAATTAATCGTATTTCATGAATCTATTCATATATTTACTTTTTATCTAATATATAAATTTATAAATTATTATTAATCATAGAATAAAACAATAATAGTTTGAATAATCTCTATAAAAAATTAAAGAAAATATGATAATTTTTATTAGATTATTAAATATTCTAATTTAATAAATTATTACAATTAAATTTCTTAATCATTTTGAAGATATAAATATTTTATAGAATTTAGATTCATTAACTTAGTTCTATTTTTATAAATAAATTATTTATATATTTATTTTCTAATAATTAATATATTTAGTTTTAATTTATTAATGATGAAACAATTAAAATAGCCTTCTCAAATAATTAAGATTATTTAAAATAACAATAGTCATAATATATCAGAAATAATTATTGTTTAAGAATATTCATTGGTACAATTAAAGGAAAATGAGTTAAATCTAATTTATTAAGCTAATGAAAAAATAGTTGATGCAGTTCCTATTCAATATCCATTAAATTAATCTTAAATTGCCATTTTATATCAAAGTGGTCATATTGAATTATATTAACCTAAGACTAATTAAATCACATTATAATTGAGTTTGAAAGGTTAATTAAAAATGCCATATAAATTATTTTATGTTAAGAATTTCCTATATGCATCTGATTATATATAAGGAATGATTATAATCAATTTAAGTATATAAGAAGAATAGAATTTCATGAAAAAGGATGTAAGAATAATAAGTGTAAATGAAATAGAAGACCATACATTAATATTTTATTATACAACCAAAAAATTAATATAATATGATTTAAAAACTTATTAAGAGATTTGTTTACTTGAAAATTAATAAATATAAAGATTTTCGAACATATCTAAATTATTTGTAAAAAATAATATATTAGTTACTTATTCTTATTAAACACTTTCATTTTACTAATTAAATCCATTCAAAGAAATTAATAATTATTCAAAACTAATAAATAATAAAATAATAGATATATTAGAATATGGATTAAATAAAAATTAATATTTAATAATTCAAGAAAATGGTTAAATTGATTTAATAACATTAAAAACTGAGTAAAAAGTAAGCAATCATTTAAATGTTATCAAATTAGATGTTGAAGAAATTCTATTGAGTTATTTACTAAATAATGATTTATTAATTACAGTTTCAAAAGATGGAATTTCAGTATTTGATGCTAATTTTGTATTAAATTTCCAATTATAATTATGTAGAAATATGACTAATCTATTTGAATTTCAAAATAATTTATATGCTATTAAATAGTATAATGATTATAGTAAACCATTTGTTCTTAAGAATATAAAAAATATGAAAGAAAAATAAATTATTACTAAATTTTCTTAAACATTAATAATCAAATAAATTTTGTAAGTAGATTAATATTTATTAATTATCACTAATAATTAAATTTAATTATATTTAGATATTCAATAATTATAAGTGTTAAATTATTAATGCTAAATACAATAATGTATGATACTAGATAATTAATATGTTATATTATCAAATGATTAAAAATTATAATTATATCATATATAAAATGATAAATTATAATTGTTAGATCAAATAAATTAGGATGCAATTGTAATTAAATCTCATTTTAAATAACATTAATTTACAATATTCAATAATAATGGTTATATTTAATTATATCAAATTGAACAAAATAAATTAATATTTAAAACTTAATCATAATAATATCTTGACTTAAGTAGTTATTATATAGATTAATAATATTTGATAATTTGTAGATTTGATTGTTAATTAACTCAATTTAAATTTTAAGGAGAAGTAGAAGGAATTCCACTTTAAACATTTTAAATGAATTCAATAGCTATATTGATTAATTACAATAATATTACTAATGAATATATAGTTTTTTGTTAAAATGGATAATGTTATGTATTTGATAATTAATTAAATGTCAAAATTATAAATAATCCAGTTGGTATTAATAATATTGTATAAGAAATATAACATTTTAATAATTTCTACCTTATAACTATTTTATAATAAAGATCAATTAAATACTTAGTTTTTGAAGAAATGAATGACTATTATATTTCAATTAAGGAAAATGATTCACTTTTTTTAAGTAATAAAAATGAACTTTATTTATTAAATAATCAAAGTTTGGATAAAATAAGTTTAAGAGATTAAGAAATAGGATACTTAGATGTAAATATATTTCCAAAATAAGAATAAGTTTTATTATTAAAAAATAATATACTAATTACTTAAAATTGTGTTTATAAATATTTTGATAATTCATTTGAAATAATTCAAGATTTTGGATAAGAATAAAAAAGAATATATAATGCAGATATTGAAGGGGAAAATATAGGATTATTATTAAATGATTCATCTATTTGTATTATGAATGCAAATCCAAATAGAAAAATAGATGTGAGAATACATAAAATAAAAGAAGAATATAAATATTAATAGATAAAATTGTCAAAAGATATTATTATATTAACATATTAAAATTAAGTAACAATCTATTCATTAAATAAATTTGATTAATTAGAGTAATTTAAAGCTATATATCCAGATAAGAATTTTTGTAAAGATGAAGAAATAATTTAGATACATATAGAAACACATTCTGAATCATAATTAGTATTGAATTTATTAATTTAATAAGCAGGAATAGCAATAGTAAATTTAAAAATAAATAAATATAATGGAGTTACATAGGTTAGATTAAATAAAGTAAATTATAAATTATTATTAAATAGAAAATTTATTCTCCTATTGATGTTTCTGAACATTTAAGAATGTAAATGCTTTAAACAACATGGCAATTATTTAATACAAAAAATGAATGTTAAGTTTTTAAGCATGTTCATAATTTCTTTGATTCTAGTCTCCAACCTATTTAAGAGAAACCAGAAATAATTAATGATTATGTCATAGATTCAATATAATTTAATGGAGTTATATATTATTTAGGTATATGTGGTGCTTTATGGAGTTTACACTTGGACTGAATTATAATAATATTTATAGAGAATATTAATTATATATTTATCAAAAACAGCAAAGAGTATCTGATTTGAGATTTGATTTAATGAGTTATTTTATTTGAGGATTTGTAGTTTATCGAATTGCTGCTTTTAATTCTTTGTTTGAATAATTAGATTTTTCTAGTAATAATTAAACACAATGATAATGATTCCATCTAATTGAGACTTCTAAAGGAGATTCATAAAAGTTTTCATAAACTTTACTTTTTATAAAAGGATTTGCTTATTAATCTAATAAAAATTTAATAACTTCAAGATTTCCATTTTTACAAGATATATATAAAGAATTTTATCCAAATTTGTTGAAAGAATTCAATATATGTTTTGGATCAGTAGGACAATATAAATGTCTAAAATATATATTATAAAATTAATTTACTTTTTTGGATACATTTTTAATAATTTAATCATATTTTGAATATCTTTTTATGATCCTTATTCAGAATAATAAATGAATCTATCTACTAATTTTAAATTTGATAAGATATCATTAACATTTTCATAATCCCTTGATGATGGTTCTGGATGTATTTTAGAAACATTCATATTAGTAGATGGTTAGATCATTGTTTCTTTTAATTAATCCTAATTAATCTATTTAATAAATATACTAGGTTTGATATATGTTCAACTATGTTTTATTACATTCTTCTAATACTTAAAAGTAAATTCCCAAAAGCTTTAAATTTATTTTTTTTTGGAGAATCCTCTCCATTAATCTTTGTTGGTGATTCAATAATAGTATTAGTTTAAAGAAGTTAATCATCTTTCAAAAATTAAAATTCTTATTACTCTTTTTTATTCATATCAATACTAATTTAATCTTTTTTAATCTATTATTAAGATAAAATGTATAATTCATACTTGAGAATTTGCAAACTCACTTTGGAAATCTTGACTTAATTTATTTTGACTGGACAATTATTATGATTCTTTAAGTTATTGACTTTTATATTCAGAAAAGCTAAGTTTTCTATTTGAAGGACTATAATCTTCTAATAATTACTATAATCTAAATTCAATATACTTGAATGTTATTAAATCCTACTTATGAATTAGGAGATGAACTTTATTTTTTCTCTGGTTAAATTGGGATCATATATTTTGAGTATATGTTATCCATTATATTAATTATTTATATATATTAATCTAATAAATATTTATTTAAAAAAGAAACTAATTATCTAAATTTTATATATAAGAATTCCTCTTCAGATATTTGATATTATTTATAATAGATTCAAATTATAGATTTTCTTTTAGTTGTTTAATTTTACTTTATTCAAATTAAACATTAAATATCTAATTTAGATATAAATTTATTAATTATATTAATCATTAATAATCACCTTTTTCTATATAGGGTTAGACACTTTTTCTGTCTCCCCTTAATAATGGATATTATTTAGATAATTAAGTTTATGAGTATTTGGTAGTGTTTTATATCTAAATTTCAGTCCATGCTCTTTAACCAAATGCTTTACATACAAATTAAACAGATTCTTCCAATATTTTGACAGGTCTCCTTGAATTATGTGTACCTTCAAAACTAAATAATTCCTTATTATGTCCACGAAATAATTTCATTAACAATTTAGGATGACTTTCTCTTATCAAATCATCTTATTGAGCAGATAAAAATAATATTTGAACATCCTAGGGTAAAACTAATTATTATTTATTTATTACCTTATATGATTTGAACTATATTTAATTCATCAATATTAAATTTAACTTCTTAATGTATTTTAGATTTGACATAGCACCAAAAACAATTAAAACAACAATTTGGAATTTTGTAATTTGCTTTTGCTAATTCTTAGCATAATAATGTTAAATTAGAGAATGGACTATCACAAACTAATACTTTAAATTCATAGTTATAATGGGCTGCTAAGATGGCTGTCACAGAACCCATTGATCTACCCCATATTCCAATAGATGTAAGATATCCCTATGAAACTTATATATTATTATATAATTACTTTATTTTCTCTTAAATAATCATATAAACAAATAACATCTTTAGACTCATGATATCCCAAAGAGATATATTCACCTTCTGATAATCCAGAACCTTATTCACTTAATTTAAGATACCAGATAAATCTATACCACAAACTGAAATGTTTGCTGGAATTAAATATTCAATAATAGTGAATGATTCAATTCTACTGCTTGAATTACCATGTAAATATATCATACAAGGATGAGGTTTATCTTACATTCTTACAGGTTCAAATAAACTATATAGAATGAGTATTCTAACCTACATTATAATTTCTAATTTCGATTATTATGTATTTCAAAGTCTGTTCTTTTAGTTATTGTATCTTTGACTTTAAATATTTCATTTCCAAGATCTTTAAGATTATAACAATGTCTTGGAGGTCTAACAATTGGTTTCCATAATAATTCATTCCATTTATATTCTTATTGACTCATGTAAGTTTTAAAAATTAATAATATATTTTTTTATATAATAAATATATATATTAATGAATTTGCCATAAGTATTCAGTGTGTTTACAGATAATAATTAATTTGAGAAATTCATTGAAGATCTTGTGGCTGATTGTGTACATGGAATTAAATTACCTTATTTGAATCAATTTCCTGAAATTAATCATTATAATTTAATCATAGAGGCTCAATAATTTATGTAGTAATTTAGTGAATATTTATTGGAAATGAATAATCAAAATAGAGAAGAAGTATAAAGATTATTAGATAAATTAAAAACATAAATAGATGCAGAAAAACATTAAATATTTACAAGAATAATAACTGAAAACTTTAAAGGAATGTGTAAATAAGCATTATATACACATATTGCATTATCAAAATATGTATTAATTGATTATAATTGGAATTTAAATGTATATTTTTTATAATTCTATATAGTTAACAATATCATCAAATAAAATAGCTAAATCATAGATTCCTACAATAATTGTAGAATTACATTTATAAACTTTAGACAATATAGCCAATAAAAAAAAGATTAGATTTGAAATGACAAAAGAAGAATTAGAATAGTTTGTAGGTAAATTATAAAAAGTTATGAATTAATTACAATTATAATATAAATGATTTCATTAAAACTTGGTTATATCAATATAATCATCCTTTTCAATTTCAGATTCTCTATAATTTCTAGGATGGGGTTTTGGTTTTGGAGCCAATTTTTATTATTATTAAATCAATTCTTATTATTCTTTATCATACTATTACAATATTTCTTAAACCTTTTATTATTCTTTAAGTTATTTAAACTTTTATTTTTCTTTTTGACTTTCCTTTTCTGCTTCCTTTTCAAAATATTTTCTAGCTTTTTCTAATATCATCTCTTCATCTTCTTCTTCATCTTATTCCTTTTCTGCTTATTCTTTTAATTTTTTCAATTATTCAATAGTATTATCATTTTTTTTTTATTTTACTTGATCATTAGATTATTGAATTTAATTTGGTTAAACTGTAGTATTATTTGAATTTTCAATAGGATTATCATCTTCTTCATCATCAAAAAATGATAATTTAATATCTGGTTTAACAAATTTCAATTATTCTGAGACTTTAGTTAAATTATCTATAACAGATTTTAATTTATCCAATAATTTAGGTCTTTCTTATTATGCAATAGTAATAGCTGTTTATTTCATATAATTATCTAATTCATCTTCTTCATCTATTTCTTTTTCTTCATTTCTTTAAATATTTAATAATTCATTATTTAATAGATCTCTTTCTTCAATTAATTACTCTAATCTTTTTTTTAATTATTAATATGATTCAGTAGTTTTTTCTACTTTAATTTCTTTATTTACTTATTCAACTTCTTATGTATTTTCTCTTTTCTTTAAAGTATTATCATAAAATTCATCTTCTTCTTCTGAACTCACTTCAGCTTATTATTCAAATTTATTAATTTTTTAAACTCTATCTCCAAATAAAACAAATTTTAATCCAACTTCTAAACTTTCTAATTCAGATCCTAATTCTTAAACTTTAGTTTCTAAATCACATTTATTTCTGCCTGATTATTCATCCAATCCAAAATTCTTTCTCTCTTTTACCATCAAATTATCTAATTCTTCTTATTATTAACGATAAGTTGATAATTTTTCACTATATTTATTTATTTTATCTATCAATTATTCTGATAAACCTGGTAATTAAAGCAATAATTCTGGTTCTAATGGATATTCTTATTCTTAATGATATCTATAAACTTCTTATTCATCATCTATTCCCCAATCTATTCCTTCTATTTCTGATTCCTCTTTTTTCTAATTTTTTAATAATTTATATAAATACTCTAGGTTTCATATGTCTATAAAGTGGATTCTAATACAATAGATTTAAATAATGTTCCTTTACTGTTTTAAATTCTCTTTTAGCATTTCTTTTATCTAATTTCTTTTATAATTCTTATTCTTATATATTTGCATCCTATTTTATTTATATATTAAATATACTTCTTTTTCTAAGTCTTCACATCTCAAAATATACATTCTAATACTTTATCCAAATTTCAATTAATCATATGGTTTTAATTTATGAAATAATTTTGTTGGAATTTTTACATTATTTACAAATGTTCCATGTGTACTACCCAAATCATATAAATAAAATTCATTTGTATTCTTTGATTGTAATACTGCATGTTTTCTACTTATTGTAGGATTATCCAATACAATATCACATATTTTTTCATTCTTTCCTATTAAATACATTGCTTTCTATATAAGTTAATATTTCCTATATACATTGTCAATTTTCTTTTATTCAATTAATACTCCATTCTTTAATACTTCTAAATAGAATGGTAGCTTAGGTCTCATTGACCATGATGGAGGAGTATAATCTTCATACAACGTAAAGGTCGACATTATATAAATTTATTTATTAAATGCATATTTCCAAGGAATAAAGAGTTAGAATTACTCTAGCACTATTATCCATTATTGATTTTGCCTATACATTTCAGAATTTTTCATAAATTAAAGTTATACTCTCCAGTCTATTAGTTTTGTCTAATATCGGTATAAATATAATTTGATCTTAGTAAGTATGTTATTACTAAAAAAGAAATAGATATCGATTATTATGATTACTTTATATTATGGAAAGGAGATTATCTTATATGGACCAACGTTAACATGGCCAGTATTATATCTTTTTAAAAAGATTGGCTCTTAAAAATTAATTTTTCTTTCTTTATTTTCAATTCAAATTGCATTCAACTATGTTGATTCTTTATGGATATTGATTCTGAAAACTAAAGAACATTATTGCATGGAATTAATCATTATTTTTATATAAGAAGGGTATTCATTTTATATCTAATAAAAACCATTTAATCAATGTATTCGTCTTTTAATAAAACAATTTAAATAAGACTGCATTCTTTAATTATTTGATAGAAATTACAATAACATTTCCATTAATTAAAAGAACACATTAATAATTAATAGATAATAGTCTGTAAAAAATGTATTAAATTCTCCAAAATCAGATCAAATACGTTTATGCACTGATGAATAAGAATTATTTTATAAACTTTACTTAAATAATGATGATTTTTAAGTACTGGAATCTAATCAATAAAATTTATAAACCAAAATGATATTTAAATCTCCAAAAGAATTATTGTTATTTTTAAAGAATAATAGATAATATTATATATTAGCTGTTCTTAATGATCCTTGTATTAATTAAAAAGTATTTTATTAAGTTAAGTATTTATAAAAAGATGCTTTCTATCTTTTATATTATATCAAAATTGAAAATGGATTAACAAATTGGTAAAATCACAAAATATCCAAATATAAATAAAATCTTATTAATATTTTTAATCATAAATTGAAGACTCCTTTAAATGGAGCTATTGGCCATTTAATAACAGCTAATGATGATGAAAATATAATGGAATAAGTTAAATAATTATATTTATAGCCAGCTTTATTAAATTGTAGATTATAATTATATTTAGTCTAAGATATACTTGATTACTTGTCATGTGAGATTGAGTAATTAACTATAATGAACAATAAAACAAATTTATAATCTTTATTATCTGAATTATATGATTTAATAGAGAATTAATGTAAAATGAAAAAGATAGATGTTTTATTTAAAATTAATGATGAAATTTTTGATAAATTAGATTCAAAATATTGGTTTATTTATACTGATTCTAATAAATTAATTCGTGTTTTACTAAATATTTTAAATACTTCATATAGATATACAGACGAAGGGGGATGTATCAGTTTAGAAATTAAATTGGATTAATTGAATAAAATAACATATTTTACAATAATTGAAGAAGGATCAGGAATAAATGAAGAATAAATTTAATAATTAAAAAATTAATTAAATTAATTAGATCATTGTGCAACAACAAATAAAACAAATAAATTATTATGTGATGACAATAGGATCAATTCAGGAATCAATCTATATTTAATAAATAAATTAATCAAATTATTAAGTGGAGATAATAGTAAATTATAATTAAGAATTTAATAAAATAATCAATTATTCTTTACTTTTTCAATTAGTGATACTTAAGATTTACAATCTGAAAGTTCACTTGGTAGATCAAAAAATAATAGTTTAAATAAATAAAAATCTTTAAGAAGTTTGAATAAAAACAGCTTTTAATAAAGTCCAAGAATTTCTAAATTCAAGTAATTATCTCAAAGATAATTTAATTTCAAATCTTATAATTCACTTGCATCCTTGTAATAAACAGAAATCGTAGATGTTGAACCTATTGCATAAATTCCAAATATGTTATAAACAAAAAATGATAATCATAAAAATTATCATTAAAGATAAAGATTTAAATCTATAAAAAAAAATATTGATAATTAATAATGCTAAAAAACAAGTTCAAAAATACATTCAGCTGATTCAGCAATATAATAGATTTCAAAAACTGAGAAATATATATTAGTAGTAGATGATGAACCATTCAATCATGAAACATTATGTTTAATGTTAAAAAATATAGGTTTTAATAAATTTTTGAAAGCTTTTAATGGTTAATAATGTATTGATTTAGTTTTGCAATATCATGATTAAATATATATGATTATGATGGATATAGATATGCCAATAATGAATGGAATAGAAACAACAAGATAATTAGAGAAATTAATTATTACTAATTCTGTTAGTTATATTCCAATAATCGGATGTACTGCTCATGAAGACTATGAATCTCATTTAAAATGCTTTGAAGCAGGAATGATACATGTTGTAATTAAACCAGTTTTCATAAAATCTATATAAGAAGCTTTGTATAAGATATCTGAATTAAATTCAAATGAAACCATCAAAGAAAATAACTCATCTTACATAATGTAAAGAGTTTAAACTAAAAATTTTGAATAAAATTAATATATATGATATTTTTCTTATATAATCTGATTCTTTATCTTCAATTTCATTTTCTATTAAATTTTTTTGTTAACAAAATCATGAAACCATATATTAATGCATATCCAATAACAACATACAATTAAAATAGTGATGTAATGCTAACTCAAGTATCATCAAACTAATAAGAATAAATAAATCTATTGCAGGAAATGAAGTAATTGCTAGACCAATATCCTCACCAAAATATTTCAGAAATCATTTCATTTACAATAAATAATAACGCTATTGAATCATAAAATGAACCTTGTGATTTTACTTTGGACTAATATTTAAAAAACAGACAAAGCTTTTGGTTGTCTAAAGAAGAAATATATAATATCCTTGGATAAATTGTTTAAGGGTATATGCATTTAAAGAATTTAAAAATTACTCATAGAGATTTGAATCCAAGAACGATATTAGTCTTGCGTGTTTTAGAAACTAATAATGTAATTATTAAAGTACATAAAATTTATTGATTTTAGATTTCTGATTTTGGAGTGGCATCACTTAATTAAACTAGAATGAGGGAAATTGTTGGTACTCCATTTTATCAAGCTCCTGAAATCACACAAAATAATGAATATGATGATCAATGTGATGTTTATTCTGTAAATATTAAATAATAGATTTAGTTAGGATTAATATTATATTAAATGTGCTTTAAAAATTAATACCATATTTACCCTGTCACAAAAGAAGAGCTTTTAAAATTTAATGAATAACTTAAATTTAACAAATTTAAAATACCAGATGGATAAATTGATCCAGCTTTAAAACAATTAATTGAAAAAATGATAGTATATGATCCAAATGAAAGGATTAATTGGTCTGAATTGGCTAATATGCAAGTATTATAGCCTAAATTTTTGATCTTACCAAACTAAAACAAATCCAAGTTATATTATATAGATTTTTTAAAATCATTAGGTAGAGGAAGTTAAGGATGTACCTACTTAACTTATGATCTACTCCATTAAAACACAGAATATTGTACAAAATAAATAGATTCCAATAATATTGAAGGGTAGCGAGAACTTTAAGCCTACAGATTAATCAAAGAAAATACATATTGTGAAAATATTATAATGGTTGAAGATATTTTATCATAAAAGGATAATTCATATTTGGTCATGGAAAAATGTGAAAAAAATATTGAATAATATTTCAGAGAAAAATAATTTGATCTATCCTAATAGGAGGCTTTAGATATTGTATAATAGATAGTCACTGGCTATCTTCATATTACCAAATTCAATATTATTCATAGAGATCTAAAACCACAAAATATTTTAATAAAACATAATAATCAAACCAATAAAATGATTATCAAAGTATAAATCTTCTTTTAAATAGATTATTGATTTTGGAGTTGGAAAAGTGCTCTAACAATCAAAAGAATTGACTAATACTTATGCAGGAACACCCATCTATACTGCCCCAGAAATAATATTTTCTCGTGACTATAATAATAAATGTGATATATTCTCAGTATTTATGTTATATATCACTAGCTAGGAGTAATGTTGTATCAGCTTGTTTATGAAGGGGCCAATTATTTTTAAGGCTAACCAAATAGTATAGAAGATTTATAGAGAATTTTATTAAATCTTTAATCCACTCCAGTATAATGCAAGAAACCCTATAAAAATGTAATTTCTTAATTTTATTTTAGTTTAATAATAATTTTTTATCATTAATAGATAAGATGTTGATATTTGATTAAAATGAAAGAATCGATTGGGAAACATTAAATTAATAGTTAAAAAACTTTACACAATCTAAAATTAAAATTATATCTATAAATAATTAAAACTTAGATTTATAATCCCAAACTCAATAAGAATAATTATAATAATAATAATATTAATAATAATAATAGTAATAATATTAATAATAATAATATTAATAATAATAATAATAATATTAATAATAATAATAATAATAGTAATAGTAATAGTAATAGTAATAGTAATAGTAATAGTAATAGTAATAGTAATAGTAATAGTAATAGTAATNATACATGAAATCATAGAAATAGTTAAAGAAATATACTCAATTCAAGAAAACATTAATTTAAAGCATAATCAATAAATTTTGCCTGAGAATTAAACAATAGAATCCTTAAAAATCAAAAAAGGTTTTATCTTGTCAGTGGAAATTCAATAATAATAATAGTAATAATAATAATAATCACCCACATAATAAAATGTAATGATTATTTTAGAATATCGTGGTTAAAAGAATCAAATTGAAGTGACTTCAGATACTTACATACATGAAATCATAGAAATAGTTAAAGAAATATACTCAATTCAAGAAAACATTAATTTAAAGCATAATCAATAAATTTTGCCTGAGAATTAAACAATAGAATCCTTAAAAATCAAAAAAGGTTTTATCTTGTCAGTGGAAATTCAATAATAATAATAGTAATAATAATAATAATCACCCACATAATAAAATGTAATGATTATTTTAGAATATCGTGGTTAAAAGAATCAAATTGAAGTGACTTCAGATACTTACATACATGAAATCATAGAAATAGTTAAAGAAATATACTCAATTCAAGAAAACATTAATTTAAAGCATAATCAATAAATTTTGCCTGAGAATTAAACAATAGAATCCTTAAAAATCAAAAAAGGTTTTATCTTGTCAGTGGAAATTCAATAATAATAATAGTAATAATAATAATAATCACCCACATAATAAAATGTAATGATTATTTTAGAATATCGTGGTTAAAAGAATCAAATTGAAGTGACTTCAGATACTTACATACATGAAATCATAGAAATAGTTAAAGAAATATACTCAATTCAAGAAAACATTAATTTAAAGCATAATCAATAAATTTTGCCTGAGAATTAAACAATAGAATCCTTAAAAATCAAAAAAGGTTTTATCTTGTCAGTGGAAATTCAATAATAATAATAGTAATAATAATAATAATCACCCACATAATAAAATGTAATGATTATTTTAGAATATCGTGGTTAAAAGAATCAAATTGAAGTGACTTCAGATACTTACATACATGAAATCATAGAAATAGTTAAAGAAATATACTCAATTCAAGAAAAAATTAATTTAAAACTTGATCAATAAATTTTGCCTGAGAATTAAACAATAGAATCCTTACAAATCAAAAAAGGTGATATCTTGTCAGTAGAAATTCAATAATAATAATAGTAATAGTAATAGTAATAGTAATAGTAATAGTAATAGTAATAGTAATAGTAATAGTAATAGTAATAGTAATAGTAATAGTAATAGCTATTTCAATAGTAATAGTAATAGCTATTTTAATAATAATAGCCATTTTAATAGTAATAGCAATTTTAATAGTAATCACCATGTTCATCGTAATAGCCATTTTCATAGTAATAGCCATTTTAATTGTAATAATCATAGCAAATATAAAATTAATTTTTGCTTTAAAAAAATTAATTGCCATCATCCTTTTAATAATAGCAATCGTAGTAATCCTTAATTTAAAAAATAAATCCATAGCCATAACAATAATAATCAAAAATTTCACAATCAATTAGCTTTTAATAAGATTCTAATAATAAATCATTTTAATTACCAACCCCAAAATCTAATTTAATAGATTAAAATTAATAATTTTAATTACATAATCAATCATAAACTGCTTCCCAAACTCAAAAATCATCGACCATTGCTTAACAATCGTCAACAACAACACTAAGATCAACAATGTTTTAAACCCATTCCAAAACACCTTAATAATTTGGATAGAATTTATAATTTGTATAGCCTTAATAATTTCAGCTACGAAATTAAATAAAAACTAATCCTCCAAACGAATAAGAAAATAAAGCTTCTATTTTTCCATAAAATACATAAAATTAATAAATAGCTTAATTACAATTAGATCCAAAAACTACATTGCCTTAGAATCAATTTGCAATACAATAAAATAAATAAAACGATTTAAATACTAATTCGCTTTCACCTTTTTAGCCACAGCAATAACAATAATAATTAAAATTAAATATTAATCCCCTAATAGTAAACTAAATGAATCCATAAGTCGCTATACCAAATTAATTTTCCAATATAAATACTTAACAATCAAATCAGTTAATAGATGTTTCTAAACCTATTTCATGCAGAGCTACAATTTCATATGCTAATACAACTTTGAATAATAATAATAATAATAATATTAATAATAATAATAATAATATTAATAAAATTAATAATTTTAATATTCATAATAATAAACCAGATGCAACTAAATTTACTACATAAGCTATTATAAATAACTTTCCTTCTAAACAATTTTCATCTAAAAATATGGAATAATTCTATGAATTTACAAAGAAGGCCTCTGAAGACTTCAAATCTAAAAGCTAATAATTATTTATTTAACCAGCATATTTAGGATTTTATTTATGTATTTTATATTTTTGGAAAGAGATTAATAGATAATAAAAGATTGAAAAAAGTACTGATAGTTTAATTAATTCAGAAGAATTAACAATAAAGAAGGAGATTGAGAAAGTTAAAGAAATTATTTCATAAGTGGATAAAAAAAATGGGAGATTGGAAGATTTGAAAAGATTAATATTGCTCTAAAATCAGCTTTAAAGTCTTGCTCAAATTCAGCAAGCATATTAAGAATTTCATACAAAAAATCATGATATTTTATGTGATTAAAATAATAATAAAGAATAAAAAGAGTTGAATAAAATTATTGAAAACATGCACAATTTATCAAAAGATCTAAATTCAAATAAATAAAATACAGATAATTAAAAAATTTAATTCAATAAACTCTGATAATTAATAACTGAAAAAAATGAAATAAATAAAATTAATATATATAATAATTATAGAATTTGCATTATGTTTTCATAGATCAGTAATTATTTCATAGATACAACTTAATTATTGGGACAAGGAGCTTATGGTAAAGTCTTTTTGGCTTTAAAAAAAGATGATCCAAATAAATATTGTGCTAAAGTATAATGATAAATTGACTTAGTTTGTAAATGTAAATTCTATTAAGAATAACAAAGAATTAAAAATTATCGATTATATAAAGGATAAGCAAAATCAAAATATAGTTAGAGTACATTATTGTGATTAAATGGAAGAAAAAAAAATGATTGTGATTATTATGGAAAAGTGTGAATCTGATTTAAAAAAGGAAATTATAATCAGACAATAATCTAATAAAATGTTTACAGAGCAAGAAGCTGTTTAAATAATGAAATAATTATTTAATGGATATAAAATTCTTTATTAGTATTAAATTGTTCATAGGGACATAAAACCAGCAAATATTTTAATTGAAAAAGGAATATATAAAGTAGTGATTATTGATATTTTAAGATAGCAGATTTTGGAATTAGCAAGATTTATTAATCTGATTAGAATTTTTTAAATATCACAAAAAATGGCACACCAGAATTCATGGCTCCAGAATTAACTTCATAATACTTATTTAAACCAAGTATTAACTAAACATATTGATTGAATAGGTGATCTACAGTATATTAAGGAAAATTCATCAAAATTTTAAACAAATATAAACTCAAGTTAACTTAATCAATAATCCTCATTTAATTAATTCCAAAATATTATTTCCTAAAATTCATTTGAAGAAAAACAAAAAAAATAAAAATTATTGCACAAGATTGATATTTATTCAGTATATTATCAAATCTAAATCATTAGTTTGGAATTCTTTTTTATCTTCTCTTAACAGGAAGTTATCCTTTTGAAACAAACAGAGACAGCATAATGGAATTTCATGAGAAATTAAAAACTATTCCATTTTAATTTCCTCCTTAATTTAACATATCTCAAAATAATCGTTAATTGGTAGAAAGAATGATTACCTACTCTCCAATAGATAGAATTGATTTTCCAACAATTGCATAATAATTTGGAATGCGAAATCCTCCAATATTTAATTTAGAAAACTATAATTTTCGACCTTTCTAATAATCTTTTCTTTAAAATACTTCTCAACTTCCAGGTTATCAATAAATTAAAGATTGGCTTTAAACTTATAGAAATATGTTTATTGAAAAATGGTAATAATCTGAAATAATTATTATTATAGTTGTTAAAATAATAATGTAATAAAGATTTATCGAAATTACTGTGATCTATGTTTGAATCTGGCAATATTGATGCTTAATTTATAAGTAACTTTAGATTAAATAAATGATTACATAATTTAATATAAATAATCAAATAAAGGGGATATTGAATTTTAAATAGAAGCTAAATTGCATAAAACATTTTATATCATTGAGTATTGCAGAATTTTAAAAAGTTAATTCATAAACAAAATCTTTGATTATTAATCAATTAAAACTTATGGGGAAGAACACTTAAAGTTTATGTTCATTTCTTAAAAATTAATAAAGGGAATTTATAAATATTAAGGATTATCAGCAACTCCATAACCTATTTATATAGATTTTGTAGAGTAAATAAAAAAGGACTAAAGTTTAACAAAAGAATAGTATAAGAAATTTTTAGATGAAACAATTTGATTCAAAAATACTTTAATTAAAATTTGATTTTTAGTATTATGATGCTTTATTTATTAATCATTATCATAATAATCCTGCTATCATTTTCAGTTCTAATTAGATGTAAATTAAATTTACTTCATTTTTCATTTAGAGTATTTAGTAAAATTACGTCCATCAAATATGATTTGAACATTTTTTAAATAAAAGTATTTATTGTTTGAATAACTCAATTTTTAATTTATATCTCCCATATTCATATAAATTTAAATATAAATCTGTTAATCCAGTTTTGGTTCAAGCAAATAAATTAATTTGCATTCATAAAAGGAAATTGAAAAGATGTGTAACTCAATTTTAGGATAATATTTATTAAAATTAGTAAATTGGCTTTGCTATATAATAGTAAAAATAAGTATTACTGTATTTTTTTTAAAGAAATAGTATTAAAATACATATATATATATTCAAATTAATATATAAAAATTCAAATTTAATTGGTTTTCATTTATATTAAACATTGTGAAGTTTGAAGACAAAATAATTCTAGCATTTCTAAATCTATTGAATTGACTTTTGAATCACTACTTCCTATACCTTTAACATTGACAACTTAGAGTGCTCCAATAATTTAATTATTATATTTGAGTGGCATACAGATAATTGGCATACTAGTTTCAATATCAATATTAGGATTAAAAAGAGGATTTATATAGCAATTACATATAGCAATAATTGATTGACTGTTAATACAATTGCCCATAATACCTAATGAATTATCACATTCATCAAGTTTTCCTTCTTTATTAATATGTATAACCTTGTTGGCTTATATATCATTATATACTATTTTTGCAAAATCTACATTCATTAATGATCTTAATCTCTCCTCTGCTTATTGAATAAATTTATGAATTTCATTTTGTTTAGATTATAACAAAACTCCTGTCTTTATTAAATGCCTCAGTTTATTTTAAATTAACATTTGAGCATCATGATTCATTGCATTTTTTAAAACTGATCTTGAAAATTCACACATAATTTGTAACAATGCTTCATCATCTTTTGTAAAATATCCACTTTATTTATTAACACATTATAAAACTCCAACACATTTATCATTTTCCATTATAGGACACACTAATAATGTTTTTGTCTTATAATTATTTTTGATATCTTATTATGAATTAAATCTCTAATCTCTATATGCATCCTCTATGTTTAAGATGGTTTTTGATTGTGCTACAAACCCAGCAATTCCTTGACCCACTTATAAACGAATTGTAGCTGAAGTTCCTTTAGCTACTCTTGTCCATAATTCCTTCTTACTTTGATCAACTATAAAGCATGATGCCCTATCACATTCTAAACAATCTACGCATTTATCTATTATGGTTTGCAATGCATCATCTAATAAAATGGATGAATTCATTTAAAGAGCTCCCATCACAATTTTTTTTAATCTTAATACTAAAATGAACAATTAATTATGATCAGACATTATTCGTTTAAATTTATCATAAAGAAATGACAATTTTTATGCTGACATATTTTAAATGATATCCCCAAATGAATCTTCATTATCTAATAATTCTCGCATTAATGATACAGTTCCATCTTATTAATATTATTACATAGCATCTTCATCAGATAATTAGATATTTAAGATTGCATTTGTTCTAAAACAATCTTCTTATTACAAAGTATCATAAAATGTTGATGCCTTTTAAGTCTATTTTTCATTCTTTTATTATTCACTTTCTTATTCTAAATGTAATCGAGCTAATGTTGGATTTCGATAGATTCTTCGTTTAACACTAGGACTTTATTGAGATGTTTCATCTAATAATTTACTTAAATAATTCTTTTTTTCACTCATTGTTTTATTATGTCCTAATTTGATTGTCACTTTCTTAGAATGAAACTATCTTTCTGATTATAAAATATTTAGTTTGGTTTAATTTGCTTATATTAAATATTCGTTAATGTATGATAATCTTTCGATTTCTTTCTATTATAATTTTATCTAATCTTTTAATCTTCTTATTTGTTCTAACATAGTTTCATTTTAATGATTAGATGGACTGAAAGTACCCTCATTTTTTTAAGCTCTTTGATGATAAGAAGAAGATTCGAAATTCTTATCACTTTTTATATCTCTACTATAGAATGATTTTTTGACATGTTCTGTTTAAGTAGTTAATCTAGGAGTATTTATTATTTCTAATTTATTCATTATTAAATATTAATAAAATGTTATCATTCAATAGAAACATTACTCTTTTTACATAAAAGCTATCTAGGTATAAATCTATTTCCTTAACTTTTCTGTTATATTATATCTTAATTTATTTCTTAATCAATCTTTCCATCTGATTTTAAGAAAGCATTAGGTATTTTATATTCTTTTGGATTAGGTTTTATCTTCTTTATAATAGATGGTTCAATTGGTATAATTTTAGTTTACATTATCTATTATTGTTATTAGTCTAGCTCTTAATTATTATTTTATTTCTAATCATCTTCACTATCAGAATAATTAACAAGCATTTTGTAATTTAAAGTAATAATTTAAATTTGAATCATATTAACAATGTCATAAGAGTCGGTTTCAATAAGCACTTTGATACAAAAAAATGCTCAATAAAATGTAAGTTTAATCATTATAATAAGACACAATATAATTGGGTGGGAGTATTGGAATTTTTGCATGAATAACATAAACAAGTTTAATATAAGGATTGTGAATGGGCATTAGAGAAATCATAAATGCAGTAGAAAATAAATGAGTTAGAAGGAGTTGTAAAAGGTTAAGAGAGAGTAATAACTGATTTGGGCAAAAGATGCAAAATGCTAGAAGTAGCATTAAGATAAGAAAGATTGAAATATCAATAAAATGGATAAGTTCCTGATTATTTAAATTAATTACTAAAAGAAAACATAGAAAACCAGAGTTAGATTTAAAATTATTAAACGATTCCTAAAAGAAAAGCTAAACCTTATAGACCCTTATTGCAAAAGTATATATAAGTTATTTAAACTTAAGAATAATCTAAGAAGTGGGATTGTAATCTATTTTCTCTCCTCCAAGTTCACCAAAAATAGAACATTCAAATAGACCATCAGTGATGTTAACACCTAATTAGAATGTGACATCAATAGTTTAAAATTCAGGTCGACAAAGTCCAACCAACATGAATAGTACAAGTGGTTTTCCAACCCATAGTAGAAGCAAATCGCAAAATATTAATGAAGAATAAACCTAAATGGTTTCAAAAGATCCAGTTTAATTATAAAATACATTAAGACATCATTTAGATGGTGTAAGAGATGCATATTTCTTTAATAATATGACTATTTTAGCAACAGTTTCAGAAGATTGTCAATTAAAATTATGGGATTACTAAAATTATTAATAATAATAAAATTAGATTGAACCATATTTGACATTAAGAGATCATACTGGGCCTTTGTTTGCAATTGCTGGAATTGAATAAAGACTTAAAGGAATCTAAAATGCAATATTTAGTGCTGGAGCTGAAGGAGCAATTAAAATGTGGTATTTTCCTTTGCCAGATGAATGTGATCAATTAGGATAAACTGAAGAATTCTAATAATGTAGAATGACTTGGTAAGCTCATCAGGATGCAATTTGGTAATTAAAGGTTAATTCATAATAAAATTTATTGTTATCTTCTGCAGCAGATTCTTTGATAAAATTATGGCCAATTTAAGATTCATAAACTGAACCTAAATAACTTTATTAATTTGGATAAAAAAATCAATATGGTCATTTTGTTGATTCACCAACTGCAATAGCTTGGCTATAACATAATCCAAATCTCTTTGCATCAGGTTTTATGAATTCTTCTATACTCTCTATTTTTGATACAGAAAATGGTAGAAGTGTTCAAAATATTAAATATTTATAAGAAAATAATTCATAAGCTCAAATTAATCAACTAACACAATTTTAGTAATCTTGTTTGATTTCATCACATGATGATGGAAAATTGAGAATTTTTGATCTTCAATAATGTATCAATTCTTCTTTACTCTTTAGCTAAACTGATATCACAAATAATTTGTGGAAATGAACCAATTACTTCAGCAATTACTAATCTTAACAATACTATTATCTATATAGCAACTGGTAATGTGATCAAGTAATTATTTATATTAATTCTAATTAGAGTTTGGGATACTAGAAGATAATAATTTATATAAGAACTTCAAGGACATCAATCTAAATATGATGAAAACATTCACAATTTAGTTCATCATGGAAGTTATAATTTATTTGCATCTTTAGGTGCAGATGGATAAATTAAATTATTTTCATCTAAATGATTTATTTATATATCTATCATATATGACAATTATATTTATACAGAATCATGATTGATACTTTTCTATTTCAAACAATATCATAACTAATTTATTACTCTTATTATATATTTTATTATTATACCGTTTTTAATGAAATAAGTCATTTTCCTAGTTTTGCTACTCACCTTAACTCTACAAACTTCATTGTAGTCTAAAGTAGATGTTGTTATGGCACAAATGGATAAAATGGCAATTAAGAATGAATTTTCTAAGCAATTAGCTGGTTTAATTGAACTTAAAATGTTATAAAGTTCATATGTTGAGGAAGTTTTGAAAGAAATTAAAGGGATTAGAGATTAATTAATCTCAGATTAAACAGTAGAGGATCAAGAATTTGCCAAAGTAATAATAAAATATATTTCAATTAGAAAATTGGATAATTGAATGTGGAAATAGAAATTTTGGAAATCTAAACAGAAAAATTAGCTAAAGAATTACAAAGACTTAATCAATAAATTGCAGATTTAAATGAAGATATTAGCAAATTAATTGGTACATAATAATCATAAGAAAAATAATTATCAACTTTGAATTCTAAAGAAGAAGACATCAGAAATTAATATAAATCAGAAATTGAAACTATATCAGTATTACTTATCAATATTTATAGTAAAGAACAACAAACAATATAAAATCTATAGATGGGTTAAATGAAATGATTGCAAAACTCTAATAGGCTGTATTTGCTGAATAAAGTAAAACAACTGTCCTTTCATAATAACATACTAAACAATATGTTGATGAACTTGCTAACTCTTTAGGACCAAATCATCCTATTACAGCACTTGTTTCAGTAACTACTAAGTATCTTAATATTTTATTCCAGATTTGATGTTCCCACTGTTACCAGAATTATTTAATTACTCGAAAACATTCGAGATCAAAGAATCCAAGAAAATGCAGGTGCAAATGAATATGTTGCTAAAGTTACTTAATCATATGAAGTAACACTTAAAGAAGTCACCGAAGTTAGAGAAAGATTAAGTGCTGATTATTCAAGAACACTTATTACATTAAAAAGAAGAAATGAAGAAAACGTAATATTTCATCAATTAAAAATAAGGCATTATCGACTAAAAGCAGAAATCAAATCTAAAAAGATTTACCTATTGCATTAGATTTGCTTCAATAATATAGAAATGAATGGGAAATAGTCTAATCAAACTATAATCTAAGATCTGCTAAGAGGGAAAATGAAGTTAAAATTATTACATAAGCATATACTATCGTTGCCTAATAAGTTAAGGTTTGAAAAATATTACAACAAAAAACAATAATTATTTCTAAATTTTTTTTTTAATTAAAGGATAGAATCTACATCTCTAAAACAATCTAAACTAGACAATTAGCATGATCAAAAGAAAATGTAGCCTAAATATCAACCTTTAATATATTATGTATGTAATATTACAGACCAATATGATTTCACTTTAGTTTAATAGCTTCTCTGTTAAATTATCGATTTAATCACAACTTAGAAGAATTCTATTATTTTTTTTGATTAAAAGTATCATTGAATTATTTTTTAGCAATTAATATAAAAAATCAATTTAGCCTCATAAAAAAATCATCGTTCTTATAAATAATTTAAAATCTGCTTATGTTAAATCAAAAGATTTTAATTTAATCAAATTAAGATGCCTTGATCCAGTTATATTTAGATTAAAGTTAAGAACAATAATAATTGAGAAATAAGCATTAAAAATAACATTAAAGATAAATTAATTTACTAATATTGATATTTATTATATTTTTTGAAATGTTAATTTCATAAAAATAAAAATATAATTAAAAAACCTTACTATAATAAACAAATATTATCTATTACATTATCAAACTCATTACTATATTATAAAAGTTAATATTAAAATTTAGAAAATATAAAATTATCATAAAATAGTTCTAAAAAGAAATAAATATATATAATCATGAATATTATACATATATTATGTATAAGAATGAATAAAGTACAATTTGTATATAAAAACATTTTCCTCTTTTATTCAATCATGGATCCAGTCAACTTGTTCGACAAAAAGTTTCAAAAGTGTAGGTTCCAGGAATATTTCCACTCAGTTATAATTCTTTGTGTAAATATTATAGTTTTTTTCAATTGAAATTCCTCAAATAACTGATTAGGTTATTAATGAAATAGTAAAACAGGCAAAAGTGAATTTTGCTTTTTGATATTTCTTTTTTTTCTATTTAGAAGATTCTTTTGTAGTTTTCTATTTTCTCACAGCATAAATTGTGAGTTTCATCATAACTAATAGAGAAAATTTAAAAGGCAATAAATATAATCTTAATTGACCATAAACTTAATATGATTTATTGCATTCGTGATCTCTATCTATTTTTTATAAATTATAATTATGAAAATAT